CCAGGTTTTGTCGGGTGCGACCGTATTCTTTGGTCGGACGTATTAAAGAGCTCATAATAACAACCACCCTCACATAATCGGAGGTGGGTTATCATTTGCTGATATGTACTGATGGGAGGGCCGTTCGCTTCATTCATTGAGCCAAAGGCAAACGCAAGTTGGAATTCCCGAAAACTGCCGTGCATGTCCAGTCTTGAGCAGGCCAATAGTGCATGCCCACATACTCTTCGGCGGCACCTGATGTATCGCTAGCGGTAACGTCCTGTGATCAGCGAGTCTGGAATACCCCAGCACGGAAGGGTACAGGCAACCGCCCCGAAACGGACGGGGGCGCCTTGTTTGCCCAGACAAATATCTCTTGAACGGGTTTGTTGCACTGACTCCGACCGTCTGAAGGAAGCACCTGTACCTCAGTTAGTCTTCGACAAAGAGGCAACCTGAAAACATCATGGAAAAGAAAATCCAGGTGCTCGAGTTCGAGTCAGGCGATATAGAGGGCCCTTTCCACTTCATTCTGTCAAGCATTGCAAAGGCTGAGACTAAAAATTTCCCAGTCAGCCCGCCGGCGCACCACCCTGCTCGTCAGGCGCTAGAAGAAAAATTCGTGGCTGCTTGATGCTCAGCCCGCGGGACAGGTCGTTCGAAAACACCGAAAACGCCGTGTGATAAGGCAGAGAGGCAACAATACAGGCGGAGCGAATGTGACACTCAGTGGTTGTCAGCAAGTCTTTATAGGCTCGGACGTGAGCTTTGGCGAGACTAATCACACCGGGCGAGGCCCGAACGTCCACCGGGGAACGCTTTCAGCCAAAACTCTGAGGGCTCCAGCACATCGGACTACGAGGGTGAGAGCGATGACACTGACGATGGTGATCTGATTGAGCAAGTTGGCGACAACAGCAGAGGCGTAAATGCTTTTCTGGGCACGGCCCAGAAATTCAATGAATCCCATGTGACTTATGGGATTCAAAGCTGCGAAAACGGCCGTGACAGCTCTCCACGAACGAAGCAAGCAAAGCCTAGAAATTGACAGGGTCGGTTCGAGACTCTCCCTTTCTCCTGCAGAGAGGGCCAGCCACAGCACATAAGGCACGAGGAATGGTGAAATCGTCAACAATGTGCCTTAGCGGTGGTCGAGGAGTTAACCGTCGGGCACAGCGAACGGAGTATGTGCCTAGGTCCCCAGTACCTACTTGTACCTACTTAACATAGTATGGCGGGAATACCAACGCACTCTCAATAATAATCCGGAATACGGAGTGCAGTACCACTTACTATGGACACTACGAGGCATGCTGTAGGTAGGACTAGTTACGAACGAGCGAGGCTGCTAGAGCCCGTGAAACTTTCCAGTTCCAGTCAGCGGTAATAATCCCCGCCCTTTTTCGGAACCAAATACGGGATGGTTCGCTCCTTGCCTACCTACCTAGCGAGGTGGGTAATAGGCATCCCAAAACCTCGTATCCCCTATAATAATGAGATGTTGGTAGTGAGGCTGCAACTTTGGGGGCGTTTGTGGCGCAGCGTGTCACCCCATTTCGACAATGAATCAACAACCGTTGGATGCACACCCTCGACTTCCGTTCCCTTTTTCTCATCCATTGGCCATCATCCCTTATTGACACCACGGGCCACACAATGGCCGTGCTAGAGAGGACCCGCCCTTGTTCATGAATATTCAGTCTTCGCGACTATGGAGGATATAGCGGGGTTGAACTGGAGTTCGACCCCCGCCAGCAGACAGACCTTGAAACCTGCACCCGCAACTTCAAACTACTCTGCCTTTAGTACATCAAAACCGACGCCGCCTGTCTCCGGGAGGGCCTCTCCATTAAATCCGATCTCGAGTCAGCCTCCCTCCAAACCATCTACCCCGGCCAACGACAGCTTTGCGAACCTCGTTTCCTTCGGCCCAGCATCCCATAAGAATCTCTCGTTGTTGGAACAGCAAAAGATACAGGTGGAGGCAAAGCTGCAGCAGCAGAAAGATCAGACCCAGAGATTGAACGACCAGTATGCTGGCGGAGATGACCAATTTTGGAACAACCTGGGCAGTGGGAGGGGGACGCCCGCGATCGACAATGCAAGGAACCAGACCCCGAACAAGAACAATAAAGAGTTAGACGATACCGACGACGATCTATTTGCCGCTTTCAATAAACCACCTGCTGCTAAGAATGACCCTGTTGCTGCATCTGTGCCGAAAAACGCCGTGAACGATCATGACAATGATGACCCCTTTGGACTGTCACAACTTCCTCCAAGGAGGGCAGACACCGCCGCAACGGTGAGCACCGCTGCCGATGATGACGATGATGTGCTTGGACTCCTGGGAAAACCTGTATCCGCCCCAAGACCAGAATCTCCCCCGCTCATCGCGAAAAAACTGGCTGCGGACCTTCGCCCGCAAGACAAAGCTGTGGCAGAGCTAGTCGATATGGGATTCCCAGCAGATAAGGCAAAAATCGCCCTAGAGGCTACAGAATCGGGACTGGATGTCCAAGCCGCCGTGGGCTATTTATTGAACCAAGCCCACGCGGAGGCTCGCCAAAAGGCTCAGTCGAGAAGCGCCTCTGGGCAAAGAGGCGATCCAGACAACGGAAGAATGAGCGGCCGGGCTGAAGCGCAAACAGCAAGGACGAAACCGTCGTGGGAAGACGGAGATGGTTCTCGAAATCGTGCAAAAGGCTCTGTTCACGCTGCCGAGAAAGATTTTGAACAGCTTGCAGCAGAGTTCGGCAGTAACATCTTGAAGACTGCAAACTCTTTGTGGAAGCAGGGAACAAAACGAGTTCAGCAAGCTGTGCAGGAATTCAATTCCGATAGTGAGGCAGGCGGCCAGCCCCGGTGGATGCGGGAAGCAGCCGAGCGACCGACCAGACAAGAACACCCACAACGGCAGCATGAGCCCGAGCCGGGGCGTGGTAGAAGGAGACCTAGCCCAGAAGCCCGCGGTCAAGCAAGCATGACGGATGAAGCGATGATGTTGGAATCCAACAGACCAAGACCACCGCGACCTTCTCCTTCATCAAGACCAGTTCGACATTTTGACTCCAGCGCCGACAATTCTCGCGACCACTCCCCGATTATACACTCACGACTGCGAGAATCACTTCCTCAGACACAGCCAGCGCTTGTGCGGCAGCAACATCAATCTCCTGCCGCAGCTTCGAGAGCTGCTCTGAACCGTGCTGCTGCCGAAGAGCAGGCCGCTCAAGCGTATGTCAGCTCAGTTCGACGGCGAAAACCACAACCTAATTCTGCTCAACACGCATCGCCAACAGCCCTTCCCGGGGCGGATCTTCTCGAAGGCGGTTTCAAAGACACTCCTTCAGCCCTTTCCCGTCCAGCAGCACCTGTAGGAATGAGCAAACCTCTCCCTCGTCCACAATCCCAACCAGTCAAGCAACGGACCGAAGCAGCCCCAATTCAAGTCCGGCCTCCGCCGCCTCCCCGCGCCATCCCATCCATATCGGTCATTTCGCTACAAGCTAGTCACTCCCACCGTGAAAAGGGCAACGAACATTTCAAGCGTGGTGACTATGCTTCCGCGCATCAGTCCTATGCCACATCCCTGTCGCACTTGCCAGATACTCATCCGCTGACCATAGTGCTTTTGACAAACCGTGCTCTTACAGCGCTGAAGATAGGCGAGCCGAAACAAGCCATTGTCGACGCTGATAAGGCGATCATGATCATCGGCCCCTCGAAGGGTGAGAATGAGATGATAGAGATCACCACTTCCGGCGACATGGGTAATAAGCCGATGCGCGAGTACTATGGGAAAGCGCTCATGCGCAAAGCCGAAGCCCTGGAACAAATGGAGAAATGGTCAGAGGCTGCCATCGTCTGGCGAGAAGCGGTGGAAGGAGGTCACGGCGGAGCGACAAGTATCCAGGGTCGGATGAGGGCAGAGAAGGCGGCAAACCCACGGAAACCGAAACCTGCCACTCCCTCAATGGCCGCCGCAGCGGGGAAATCGAGTTCCGTTACTGCTCCACCCTCGTCGACTCTCCGCCGCGCAGTACCTCCCGCGCCGGCGTCTACCAGCCTCAAGCCAGCAGAAGCGGTTTCTCGCCTCCGTGCCGCAAACCTGGCCGCGGATAAACTCGACGACGAAAAATTCCGCCTCTCCGAGTCTGTTGACGCCCGCATCAACGCGTGGAAGTCCGGCAAGCAAGACAATCTTCGCGCCTTGCTGGGATCGCTGGACAGCGTGCTCTGGGAAGGGAGCGGGTGGAAGAAAATAAGCATGGCCGATCTAGTCCTTCCCGGCAAAGTCAAGGTGCAGTATATGAAGGGGATTGGCAAGGTACATCCTGACAAGGTACGTATTTCCATGTTTGTTATCCCCTTTCCCACTCGACATGCAGTAGCCAGCCGCCCCTGGGGGACAAACTTCGCTCCATCAATCTCCATCATCAACCCCCAACTAGTATCAAAGTTTGGTCCTGCTGGCTCGGTTATATTGGGTTCGTTTTTTTCAATTGAGTAGAGACCGATCAAAGCTGACTTCTGGACATCTAGATCCCCACCGCCGCCACCACCGAACAGCGCATGATTGCCGGGGCTGTCTTCAGCGCCTTGAATGACGCCTGGGACAAATTCAAGGCCGAGAACGGGTTATAAATCATATCTACTTGGGGAGTTGTGAGCGGAAATATTGTGAGGCCGAAAAAGCGTGTGCGAAGGAAGTGTCTCCACCAATGTTCGATTGATTGACCGCACCGCACCGCACAGCATCGATATGGAATATTTGAGGGCAGGACCAGCATTGAAAAGCAAAACACTGTAGAACGCACGCTTAGCCAATATCACAGTATACATGAAAGAGAATTTTTGGACCATCATATAAAAAGGCACCGGCGAATCTGTGCTGGTTGATGCAAGCTGGGATCATATATTCACCATCAATGGCGACCCGATTGGTTGCTTGTTGATGAATGCTTCTTACACATATTTGTACAATCGCTTCAAGACTCCCGTGTGTTGCATTCGCATCACTTCTTCTTCTGGGCGGTCTTCTGTCCTTTATTCGATTTCTTGCCCTTGGTCTTCCTCATCGCTCTGGCTGCTTTGGCTTCCATGCCCCTCTTGACTCGGAGCGCTCGTTTCTTCCACGCCAGCCACCGGTCGCTGCGATCATACTCGCGCACCTTAACCCCCTTCCTCTCGGCCGCCCAGCCGATCGATGCGTTTGCCTCCCGATACGTCCCTTGGCGGTTAAATGCCGGAGGAGGCGCCGCCGCCTGCGGATTGATTGCTCCTCCCTGAGCGGATTTGAACGGCATTTGCTTGCTGCTCTGGCTCAAGTGGGCCTCGAGGAACGATTCGTCGGCTGAGATTTGAGACTCGGCCGGTGGTAGGGGTTTCATGGGCGTCGCGTACATCCCCAATCGTCTGCGGGAGGGTGCATTGCGTGGCGTGGGAAGCTGAGATCTGGGTCCTTCTTTCTCCAACGCCACGCCGATGTAGCGTCTCTTGGGATGCTTCAGGGGATCGCGATAGTAGCGCACATAGCCGTATTCGAGAGCGTAAAGGGTATGGTCTTTCCCAATGCCGACATTCTCGCCGGGAAACCATTTCGTGCCTGGTAAACGGAAGAGTCAATAAAAAATTGGCGGGCAGTCGCATTTTGGGGGGTTGGAAGGGGTTTCTGGCTTGCCTCTCTGCTTGAAGATTATATTTCCCGGATGTACCCATTCCGAAGACCCCTTTTTGGCTCCTAATCGTCTTCCTGCGGAGTCTGAGGGACCGTTTGCACGGCCTTGCTGTGCGTGTGAAGCATGTCGGACGAAGATGGCTGAGGTGCGCGGGTTCAGGTGCGCGTGTTTTGAGCACAGGCTCAAGGCATTCAAGGACGATGCTAGCGCGGCTAGAGGCGCATCTGAGGTTACCACAGATCTGTATATTCGTGGTTGGAGCATCGTGGAAGGGGTGGTGGTTGGAAAGAGAAATGAAGGGCTCTGCTAGTAATCGATCACGCATGCATTGGAGGGAAGCAAAGTAGTAGAAAAGTCCAACTAACTGTTCTGGGCTTAGAATCCCATCACGTGTGATTCTGGATGTCAAGCCGTGTAATGACTGCCGACAGTTAAAACACCTTGACAGCACCGAGCACCAGTTGGCTCGCTGGGGTCCTATGAACGATGTCTACATACAATGAGGTATACAAGTATAACTGGCGTCGTTTTCCGCTTCAAACATCTTGAGCAAGCGCCTCGCCAACGTCGTGGCTTCTCCAATAACCAAGACCGAATAACCTCTGTAACTTGGACCGGAGCCAAGCGATGAAATGAAGCGGGTATCGTTCCGTCATCGGCAGGGGCGAGAGCTGGCCGGGATGTTGCGATACTCATAACACCTGTCGCTGGAAATCTGCGTCCAAGAAGGTATCCTTTTCGCCTATGGTTTCTGTATATATGCGTCACATAGTCGATCCTCCTTGTGCATTTATACTTTGGCAATGCGGCGATCAACTGACATTTCTGCAGTGGATGGGGTGTTGAGACTTTCCAGCGTCTGAGGTGGGATGCTTGAATCACGCCAATGGATGGCCATTTGGAGGCTTTTCTCCAATCAGACTAGAGGAGCCTGCATCAACGGGCACGTTGCCAGAGCTCACTCTAATGTCGAGGAGTTCCTGCTCCAGCTTCTCAATCAAGGTGATCAACATCCATTCTGTCAGGTAATCCGTCACATTCATAGGATTGCTCGGGTGCAGCCAATCGATGAATCCATCCCCATCACGAAAGTCGTCGGTTGTCCTGCTTCTAGTTCGGGTCGGAGCAGTCGAATCACCATTTGGTTGGTCCTCACCTTCCAAAGGCTCAAGGGGTCCCATCAAATCAATGATATACTCCCAGTCTTCGAATGTGTACTCTGGCTTCTGTCCATCGTGCTGGTGCCTTAGATGATCCACGATAACCTTTTTAAGCACCTTTGCCAGCAGATGGTTCCTGTCGTGAGCGTTTGGAGGGAACTCTCGAGGCAACTTGCCTGATGTGATAATGTGTCAGTCGCGTGCAACCTGGCGAGCTAGAAGACTCGACACTTACCAAAATGACCTTTTTTCCCTCCATCCTTGGGCTGTCCACTAAATGGGAGAAGCTTTCGTGTCAGCCAGTGCTTCTGGGCAACAAAGTACGGATTTCCGACCGCCTTGGCGATGCTGGAAACCAGCATTGTCCATGTCGGGATAGCAATCAGCGACCAGAGAACGAAGAAGGCCTTTGCGGAGGCGCTCTTCAAAGACAAGTCACCGTAACCAATGACTAGCAGTGAGGTGAAGGCAAAATAGATGGCCTCAAAGTAAGACCAATGTTGTTCGTGCTCACAGACCCAAAAAATGACAGCGCCTATAAGCCATAAGGTAAACCAGACGGTCGTCCACAGACCCACAGTGTATCCCAAGCGCTTTTTGGCTGATCGAAGTAAGACTTTTTTCATCAGCTCGAATTCTTCGCGTTCCTTGGCCTTTCTGTCGTCCTCTGACATGCCCTCTATAGGCTCGATGGGCACTGAGCCATTACCGGTGGAGTGGTTGGCATGGTTGCCATTCGCATCCGGGTTTCCTGTTCGGGCACTGCGTGCTTCGACTTCCTTGATTCGTTCTCGATCTCGAATGTGAATCGCCCAAATCTCTTTGCTGCGATTCAGGACCACTGCAGGAATGCAATAAACGATGAAAACCAGGAATGTGATGCCAAACGCAGCGTAAGGAAACAACAGTGAACGCCCGAGGTGAGTGTGAAGATATAAATCACCGAAACCGATTGTTAGAATGGTAACATCTGCCCAATACACGGCGTCGAGATAGTCCCAACCTTCAATGTTGGAGAAGATAATGGCGCCGATCAAAATATACGACATGAACACAGTAGTCAGAAACATCAGTCGGTGGTGGCCTTTTGCAAGCTCGACCCGGGAGTCTCGTCGAGAAGTCCGAACGTGTGCGATTGTATAGGCAGTGTACACCGTCACTGTTGAGGTGATGAAATACAATATAGCCGCGAGGATGGCATAATAAAATGCCTGGTCGAAGCCATACTGTGGCGTAGAGGAGTTGTTGAGGGCGACACAGGCGGCTATGACGAGGCCAATGAGTATGAATGCAGCCAGGTCACCAGCGACGATGTTGCCAACAACGAATTGGAAATTATGTCGCCTCAGAGTATCCTCTTCCCTCTCCACGAGGAGGAAGATGAGGACGTTGGCCACGACACCTAAAGTCAGGGAAATTGCATTGAGAGCAATTAACCACGCCGGATCTGAGACGCTGCTGTCGCCGTTGCTCTCATGTCTCCACGGCCTCACCAAGGCGCAGATATTGAGTGCGCTGGCAATAGGGCCAAAAGTTCCTGCAATGAGTGGAAACACGGTGATGGCGAACCATTCTCGTCTATCGCAGCAGTTAATTGATGAGCCTTGGGAACTGGCATGGTCGTGGTTGTGCTGACCTTAATGCCTCTTCCTTCTTCTCAGTCTCATCTTCACTTGCAGCCTTGCCTTGGGCCCATTCATGGCCCTCGAGATGGCTGAAGCTCCGCTGCCTTGTGGGCATAGTCAAAGAAGAAGAAGCCTGGCGTTCAACTAAATGGTGCCTCGACGCGAGGGATTTTGATCTGGGGGATGAGTTGGATCTGGTCTGGATTCGCAGATACACCTCGCCATCTAGCTTCTATATGGCTAGACAGTCTGGATAAGGGTAAGAGTCAGGCAAAACACAACTTTGGATTGATTCGCTGGGAGCTGTCGCTCGAGATTTTGGAACACAGCAGGAAATGATGAAGAATGATACCGGTGAGATGGGAGCTGCGGGCAACTAAGTAAGCCTACGGATAGCAAAATTAGCCTTGTGTTGAAGGGTCATGCATGTCGAGTTAATTAAGGTCCTAGAACAAACGAGATGGATAGAGTGGGACGATGGATAGATGCCGTGCAAATCGTGTGATGTCTATTCGAGGGTTGATGGTGGTGAGGTCGCGTGATGATCATCCTTGCAGCTGAACGCCTCGATGCCAAGGCCAACTCTTCATCGAACCCAGCCTTACCCGCCGTCGCCCAGCCTCGTTTCGAGCTCTAACGCCTGTGCTTGTCACAGGTCCTCTCTTGGTGCAGATCCCTTTGTTCGGAGTCCTTCTCGCGCTACATCGGAAAATGAACAGTCCGAAACGTCCCTCTTACGCGTAGAGACCCGACACTGGTGGTCTACTCGGTACTGAGTACGAGGTACCCTCAGTCACATCTGTTATCCTTGCTGGAGCTCAGAAAATTGTCATCTTTGCATGCTCAAAGAACTGGTGGCTGAAAGAAGAGATGAATGTCCATATTCCTATATTCTTATATACGGGCCTCCGGCTGGTTCCTCGCGTGGTTCTAGCAACCTCAGAGAAGAGAGATGGTGTTATTGGTTCTCAGGCTTGCAGCACCTTTCGAACGCCGTTGTATCCGCAGACTATAGCCAAATCTCTCATGCCGCTAAAACGTGGTATCATTGCGCCGCTGACGGACGGTGATGAAGTTGCCCGGCCGCACTCCTAGCCCTGCTTCGTGATGTGTCAAGTGTCTTTTGTTCTCTGTTTCAGGTCTTTCTGCGAACTCTTCGAAAGCGCCTTAGGCTATTATTTTGCTCCTCGATGAAGATTTCGCCACAGAATACACAGATGCTGGGACAATAGACAAAGTAGTCTTTAGGGTTAATGTTTGCTATTCCTTCGTAAAGAGAAATCTCAGTCCTCACAAAGGCCCATGACCACAACGGAAAGCCTTTTATACGGCCTTGACGCAATAAAGGATAGGGGCCTGGTAAACCATATCCTTCGCGACCTCGTACCTAGAGGAGGCCATGAATGAAAGCTTTTGGAAAGTCTGTTCGATGTCCCACATCCGATTGATCGCTGGTGTGAATAGGAACTCCCTAACTAGAACTCTTCGTAGACCGTTGCAGGACGTCCCTGGAGGAATTGAGTATATCTGTTTCAAAAGTCAACTTTCTCTGCCTGTAATTGACTGACTGTGAGTTGAAGGGTTGGCGGCCTAGTACACCTTCTCGACCAGGTTTGGATTGCGATTTCAAGAGCATCTCCGCATTGAGGTGCGAAAAGGACCTGTTGTACGATAAGAACCACTTGTACGGTTGGTGACCTCCATAGTTAGACTTCGCCAATCCTGTGCTCATTCTGCATACGAAGACTTTCTAATCTGTGACGAAAAGCATCGAGTGGATGGCAAGCCCTCTTGATAAATCCACCCTCGCTGTGAGCAGACCGATGGTTCCAAGCAATCTTGTCAGCTTGGTGATGTGCCAATATGCTCAGCTTCTGCACAAGTAAACATGAATTGTTCCATTCTCCCACGCTTTGACACTCCCAACAATCCACAACTTGAAGAGCTTGATAATGCCACAATGCTGGCCGGGGAACCCTCATATATAGACCCCATCATGGTAAAGCCATTGTGCATGGTTTTCGAATGCTGATCAATGCAATATTTGTCAATCCATAAGTACTTCTCGCCGAGTCACAGCACGACGCTTATCGCATCCTCGACTCGACTTTCCGTGGCAGATTGTGTGGTAGGCGCCTCAATTCTCGTTGTGACTTGGGATGCCCCCGCCGTCGTGGCTATTTTCTTCCCCAAGCGCAGCTCAGGTATAGGCACCTTGTCTCAGGTGGCAGACTCTTGATCTTCCGCTCAGCGTCGTCAATGACATAAAGATCAACTCTAACGACCTCATAGTTTATCGAGAGAAACAGCGCTTCCCTAAACGAGTGGATGAGGTGGACCGCGGGAATGGATAGCGTCACGCCGCCATACACCCGATTACGAAGCAGATCTTGATTGACGTCGGACTCTTGCCTCCAGTACCAGATGAAATTCAAGCCCGTCCAGCAATTCACCAAAAGGCCAATCCAGCTCTTTTTCGCACCCATCCCAGTGCCTCAAGCGGCTGAGTAGGATCGACGAAGAAATTGGTACAAACGGACGAAACAACCCCACTTGTATCAGTAGCATCAAAAAGGTTGCCATCAAGCTCACCATATCTAACGCAGTCAGTGGGCGATTGTTCCATGACACGTTTTGCGTTATCACGAATGAAGCTTGTGGGAACCGAGTTGATACCATCTTCCAAGACGTTAGTTTCGAAGTTATAATGAAAGATAGTTTGTGTGCCACTTACGTCCGAAGGATCTTGCGGCGGCAAGAGAGGCGGCAGGGTGGGAGCTCATGAGGCCATAGATAGCATCGCCGTCACGTCGAAGACCATTCAACAGGAAGGTCGCAAGTCCGCGTTCCCGATAGTCACCGTGTACGACAAGTTGAGTAATCCAGCATACTGTTCTATCCTTGGCTCTCCACCGACAGGCAAACACGTTCCCTGCCAGTTTGTCGTCGATCGTAACTCTCACGTAGAAGCAATCTACATTGTTAGGTAGATATTGGGCTCGTAGGTGGTCTTTGCTGAGCTTCACACGACTCCCTATGCCTAATATTAGAAGCATGACCAGAACAAGGCTTGTGCGACTCACCTTGCTTTGGGACGGGTTCAGAGTTCGCAGGGCCTGGCCCCCATATTCCGTACTGCTCGTTGAAGAGGCTGGCTGCTTCTTTCAAAATAGTATCGGTCACATCACCTCCGTCAAATGTCTCAAAAAGTTGCTTCGCCATTGTCGGTTTGGGGGACTTGTCGGTCGATTGCGTAGCAGTTTCAGCTTCGAAGTCAACTCATTTCGAGGAGGATCGGAGGACGACATGGCGAGAGTGGGAAGGCTCTCAGTACAGGCCCATGGATTACAATAGTGGCAAGACCGAGGGTTGTATTAGGACAAGCAAGCAATGTTTCAGGAAAAACAAGGTCTGGTTTCGAGGCTCAAGAGTCTCTGCTAGCACCAAAATGATCAAGGTTGGGGCGAAGTCAAAAAAGAGTGTTCGCTATGTCGAGGCTCGGCAAGCACTCCTTGCGGAGCTAGAGGGTGCTGCTTTTTCCTTGCTACTTACAGGGCAGGGGGTGAAGTATACTTGTAGCAAGCAGGGCAGTCGCATGCCTCAAAAGGAGAGATAGGGCCCTTGTATACGAGGAAGGCTCTTGGACAGTTGGGCGCTGACCGGCAACCGCAGCGCTATATTAATTCATTGGGAAGACATTCAGCAGCCTGAAGAGGAGGGTAGTGTTGGCTCTTCGCGCTGTCGGCTAGGCATTCCATTGCCCGAGCAATTGTCTAAGTCTTTTGCTGCACCTCATTCCGCAGATATTTTGGAAAAGAAACCAACGCCCACCATACTTTTGGGATAGGATCTTACCCCTAACACTTTTGGCCAGCCTTGGATCTTTAAAAGTCCTCGAGCATATTAGCCCTAGTTGGAAAGCTATCTCTTGTGTTGATTTGGCCAGAAGCTAATGTTAATACACAGTTGTGTGAAAGAGCGAACTGGACACAAGCAAGACACAAAGATGGGCCTGAAGGACGGAAGACGTTCGCCCAGGAGCGGCGAAACGATGCTGCTTTTACATTGCCAATCAGGGGAGCCAACGGGGGTCCAGCACGTGCTAGTGGCCTTGGCAGACAATATCATGTTCGGGTGTCGACACCTGTCATGTCCATCGTTCATCGCCGCCCTTCCCTCACATCTCAATCCCAACCATTCTCAATATCTTGAACATCGTCATGAAAGCACTCATCCCTATTGTGCTCCTTCTGGCAGGCTTTGCCTCCGCTCAATTTCAGTTCTTTGAGCAGTTCTTCCATGGAGGGCAGCAGAACAAAGGCACTCAGGAGAAACAAAATGTCCCCAGCGATTCCAACTGGTATCGCCAGAACTGGGACGGTGGTATGTTCTTTCGTTCTTTTGTCACTTCACCATGAAACCCATCTACGCAATAAGTTCTACCATTTGCCCGCCTTGTTCAATCATGATTTTGGCTCCAGACATCGGATCTCCAGGCAAATTGGTGCCCGAAATGACAATGGCTGACTGGCCAACCATCTAGCAACGTGCGACAAATATTTATGCCCGGATACACTCGCTTGTGTTCACTTCCCACACCACTGCCCGTGCCCACATCCGGATGTTGAAGACAAAGTTGAACTTGGGGAAGGTATAGCCATCTGTGCTAGCCGAGGAGGCTTCAGGGTTGGCGAGACTGCACGCAAAATCGAATTGGCAAGAAAGGGTTTATTGTGATGCCCGCGGTGAATCCGGCAACGAAAATCCATTGACATTCCCTGCAAAGACCATTTTCCGAGCATTGATTGAGTGAGTTGCTCCATCCTACGTTGTTGACGAAAGCTAATGGTCTATTCAGGCCATTCGCCCCCCCAAGGTGAAATGTTTCTAATGCATGACATGAGGATGATGAATGGAATTATACACTGAGCAATTGTTCAGAATTCTCAAAGCAAGGAGTTGCCGAGAAGGCGCGTTATTGAAAAATTGATGAAGCTCTCCTGGCTTGACTTCAACTGGGTCCTTTCAGCCTCGGCCCACTTCTTACTCTTACTCCCAACAAACAAGGTTGAAACCGAGGATTTCTGTGATGTTTCGCATGTAGCCCATCAGATCTTGGTGAACCTTGGGCAAATGTCCGCCTTTTGCTGAACCGCTTTGAAGCTTAAAGTGCTGTGATTGAGGAGCAAAAACCGCATAATGGCAAAGCATTCTGAACTATTCTCTCTGGGTCCGACACCAATTTCACAATCATAGACTCGAGACTCGCAAAATTATGTTGCAGCCCAGATCGTGACGAGAGTTTGGCACATCAGCCTTGTGGGCAATGGCTGGGCGATGAATCTTGACCAAGAGTTGCCCAAGCTGACAATTGACCGAATCCACTAGTCCGTCATCCCTTCCACTATGCAGTTTTCTTAACGATTCGACGGCCTAGCCATGGCCATACGCCCCAACACTATCCTCTCTATGATCAATGGATGTCACATCGAGTTAGGGGATGGTTCAGTTCAAGCGTTTATCGCCCTTTTCTTCGTCTGCTCAGGTATTGGAAGGGGCCATAAGGACTAGAATCTGATCACAGGTGTAAGCTGTTCGTGGCACCATCAAGGATTATGCCACGAAAGGAACAGCCACCCAGGATGTCTCCCTGCCATATGTCCTAGAAATATCACCCTTCGTAGTCCCTGCCAATCTCTCTGCGCAGCGAGATGGGCATTGTCGTTGAGCGAGTACTGTCAATAAGAAACCACACGCTCAGACCCTGCCTCGGGCATGGTATGAAAGATAAAGAGTGGAAATGCAAAAACGATCAAGACCAACCTGCAGTATTGACAGAGCAGGTGAAGCAACTCGACTGAAATGTGTCAGCAGGCAAACCAGAAGATTCGCAGGTGGAAATATCCACACCACAATACAGGTGAGGCGTGCCACGTTTGCCACCGCGCTCCGGAACGGCACCGAGAGTCACAAGCAGGCTAGGAGTTGTAATGAAGCCACGATAGGGGCAAAGGAACCACCAGGTCAGATATTCCCGAAATCGTCAGGAATAGATGTCGGGGTTGGTGGTATATTAGGCTGATGGCGAGTATGGTCGAAGATTTTGTCCTTCGACAAGTGTTCATCTTGATCGGTTACCAAATGGTGCAGGTAAGGGATCGGATCAATGCGCAAGGAAGCATTGCGTGGATTGGGACCTTAGCAAGTCAAAACGTGAGCTGAAGGTGGTCAAGGTGTTAGTGGCGTCTACCTAGATCTGTTGCGTACAAGATGCACTGGGTCCAAAGCTAGATGGGGCTTTGGGATATTAGTTGTTGAAGCTGGTGCATCAACGGTTGACTAGACGGAGTGAAGTGGGTGCTGAAGAAGTTGATGAAGTTGATGGGGGCGCGCATACATGATAGCGTCGATGTTATTTTCGGGCTTAAATGACGTCGTTGGCGACACGAGGATGCTGGCTCAAACGAGTGGACTCCGCAGCCAACCCGTACTACCTTGTAAGAGGTCGAGATGGCCAAGACTTCTCCCTGAGAAGGTCACGGCCTCGCTTAATCTCAAATTAATAGGTACAGACACTGCAAGGCTGGTGATGCCAATACGGAGGCTTAAAGCCTGTATTCTGAGCTAGCGAGCCGCTAGTTGAGACCAGCGCAGTTAGTGAAGCTAGTGGATGCTAGTGGCGCAAATTGTGTCAGCCACTTCCAACCTCATGGCGCCCACTTCATTCGGAGACTTGTGCAAGTTTTCCGGGCGAAACCAACACACCCCGCTGCCGCCCCGGGAATTGATGGCCTACAAGGTTCTATCCGCATCATCTTGATCATCATCGCCCTTCGTTCTATTTGTTTCAGATCAGACTGCCCCGCACTGCGAGGTGTTCTGGAAATCCGTCAATCATTGTCATTGCTTGACCACCTTCGGCTCAGAAGTACCATCGTTGACGACGAAGCCCACGCGAGCACTTTCTCCATCCGAACTCAGCAACAGCAACCTTTTGCATGGGTTCCAATGCTGGTTTGTTGGCTTTGTGCGCGCGCCTGGGTATCCTAGTCTGTCTGTTGTCAGAGGTGATGGGGGTGAAGCCGGGATAGCATTGAGATGTTTCTTTCTCGCTGGTGCCTCTCTGATGACCCGTCTCAAGAGTCCCCATTCGGCTGAAACGAAACTGCCGGTTCGGTCCTGATCATGCAAGAAGAAGCTGAGAGTCAGGCTGGCTCACCCGGCCCATCAAACTCCAAAAAACGGCGCTATGCTCGTGTGAGCAGAGCCTGCAATGAATGTCGCGTCCGCAAAATTCGATGTAATGGTCGGCAGCCATGCGAACCATGTGAAGACTTTGAACGTTGTCAGTATTTCAAAGAAAACCCGCTACCCCCTTATCAGACCACTGACAGGCCATAGACTGTACATTTACATCTACACGTGGACAACGCATGTCCGGTGCTCCGCGAACAAAAATCCTTGAAGATCGTCTGCGCCGGGCTAGAGCCTTGATAACGAGACTTCAGGCCCAGCATCCGTCAGCCCAACTCAATGCTGAGGTCAATAGCATCTTTGATTCTCCGCCGGGGTCGCCTGTCCCGACCGATTCAGAGGCTTTGGGCTCGGTTGATTCCAGCTCTGCAGACCACCTGGAGAACATGTTGGACGGTAAAGGCCGACTCACCTCGACCAAAAACTCCACAGAGTATTATGGCGGTGGCTCGGGCTTTGCGTTTCTTCAACAGACGCAGCTGCTGTTCAATCAAGACTCCCCCACGACAGAACTCCGAAACAGCAGCCACCTGTCTCTCGACGCCATGTCCAGGCTCTTCGATTCACCACTGCCAGATAAACAGGCCCTAGCAACTGATATTCCCATCTCGCAGCTTCTGCCATCTAGGCAATCAGCCACAGAGCTCCTGTATGCAGTGTTTGGACAGACCTATCAATTGCTACAGTTCCTCCATGAACCCACCTTTCAAAAACAAACGGACCGAATATACAATCTTGATCCAATGGACTTCGAAGACTCTGACCATGATTTTCTACCACTCTTCTACTCAGTAACTGCTCTGGGGTACCTGTTTCATCAGAAAATGCACCACAAGTACGGCTGTAAAGGCGCCGTCAACCAAGCGTGAGTGGGGAGGACACCCGTGAAATCTCGGATGTTGACGATTTTCAGAATGCGTCATTTCATCGCGGCTCGCCGAATGGTGGACCTCGATCGTTGTCGTGATATTCCAACGCTCCAGACCTTACTCTGCCTGATTCTTTTCCTGATCTCGACGGCCCGTCTTGCCACTGCCCACACTTTTATTGGATTGGCCGTCGCAGCGGCCATGAGGATGGGGTTGCACTCCCAAGCCTCCTGTGACGGGCTCTCTGACCTGGAGAAAGATGTCCGGCGAAGAACATTTTGGACGATCGTCAAGCTAGATATCTACAGCGGTACGGTCCTCGGACTTCCAGGGATGATTAAACTTGACTATGTGGATCAGCCCAAGCCAAGTGGCCATATTCGTGACTACGCGAATGAGGAGCGGGGTGGGTTTGCCTCTCCGAGCACCAGGCGCATGTTTGCAGCTTCGGCACAGTACCTAGGCGTCCTGTTGATTATGAGCAAAGTGGTGCAGAAGTTATATCCGAAGACTGATACGGAAGCTCACCAGGAGGGTGAAACAAAGAAGATTTATGTCAGCAATGCCACCATACTTGAGATTGAGAATGATTTTAAAGCGTGGAGGGACGGGCTGTCTGACTCACTTGGCTTGGCTGAGGACAATAACGACCTGAGCAGGTAAAGTACATTCCACACTCCCTTTCCTCAGCCGGCGCTAACTCACCAAAGCATCGTTTATGAATTGGAGATGGTGCACAATTTCGGTTACATCCTCCTTTACCGGCCATTCCTGCATTACTTAGCAAAAGCCAAAACTGAGAATCCGCCAGACGCACGACTCTTGCGCTGTGCAGCATGCTGCGTCAAAATATCGAGGTTCACCATCTCCCGCTCCGACGAGATGCTTCAAAAAGGCTTCCTTGCTCCCGCCGCGTGGCAATCGGTGTACACGGTGTTTTTGTCACTGGTCACGCTGATTTTCTTTCTAGCTACGCAGCACGGCAACAAGGACTATGCCGCCATCCAGAAGGAAACCGAGACGGGGGTTCGGATCCTCGCCAGCACATCTTGCCAAGATATTGGTTCAAGGAGATGTCTGGACGTTTTAAGAGTAAGTTTTAGTCGCTCTGGTTGAGGTTTTGGCGTGCTAATAGGTCGTTTCTAGGTGCTCACTAAAAGGCTCTCGCACATTATCAACCTAGATATTGATGAGATCTCAGCAGGAGTTCAAACATTCTGTCAAGACAATACCGGAGATATAGCTGCCCCAAAGCCGGGAGTGTTCTGCAGTGATTCCAACCTTCCTCTGCTGGATCGTCTCGGAAGAAGTAGGTCGACTGAAACGCTGGTGATTCCAATTAACCAACAATTTGTGGTGCAGGATCCGTCCGGGTCCCTGCAAAATCCTCCGTTACACAGTCTACTCAGCACTGCGCCAATCTATTCTCCCTCTTCAATGGCTTATCCGACCCAAACGTCTACGTGGGAACAAGTAGCGGGATGGCCGAACGCGGCAAGCAGTCCTTATCTTGCAAGGCCATCCTTGAGCCACGCTTCCCCTCCACCACCCGTGGACGTTGCTGAATCCTTTCTGCATTCGGATATGGAGGTGCCATATACTGATGCGTTCGCGTGGCCATTCCAAGTGACGGCAAACGTGGCGAACGGACGTCACGACAGCACTGATACATCGCAACCACAACCGGAGCCTCATGGACTTACACCTCAAGACATTGCTGCCTTTATGCGAATTAATCCTGGCGACGAACCTTTCCTTTAGCCTTTCAACTTTTGGGGGCCTTGGCCGAGGCCGGGACAGTATATTTTGTGGGAGACCAACCAGAAAGTTCATTCGCGACCAATGTTTTGCAGCAAATTCTGGATCAGAGAGTCTGTAAAGCATGCTTCTGCCAGAAACTGATGGCTGTTTTTTCCCAAGTATGATATTGGGGTCCCGTGATGGATGAACTTGCCATTGCAAGCGATGAAGGGGTGGAGTTAATCATGCTTGATGCCTTTTCTTGCCTGCTCAAGGTTGTCGTGGTCATGGGACACGAGGCCTGATATAGGCTACAGGTGCCCTTCCGATCTGCAGCCCTACGGAATGTTCGATGGAGCTTCGATGGATCTGTGCGGAAAGCCTCGGCTCACGACGCCTGAGAGGAGTCGGGAAAAGGAACCTGATGGGCTGGGTATTTTCCTGGCTGCGGGGTTTCTTTTTTGACGAGGACAAACAGGGCGCTGGTCACCTTATTCGTGTGACGGTCTCGCTCCCCACATTATCAGGCCAGCCTCAATGCGAACACGACACAGGGATTCTCACATTAGCGGCGCAAGACCAAGTACCTGCACAACCACATGGAGCCAATGCATCGAGTCAAGCGAGAGCCCTTGTGCCATGTGCCGCACCTCCTGTATCGCCTGATGCTGTTGGCTAGTTTCATGGTGTTGCTCGGCCCCCTCTTCTGGGGCACTGCCACCCGCCAAAAGTGAGGCTACAAGCACGCGGAGAGAGGCTGTGATGCTGTGAACACCCAGGGTCGGATTCCCTAGATACTTTACATGTGCCCCAACTTCACCACCAAATGTGCCTTTCAAACTCCTGTTCTTGCCCATCCACCTCTCTGGCAATATATATGAGACAGGTGAACTCGTTAAGGACAAGCAAATAGTGCGCTATTCCTTGCTCGCTCACGGTACATCAATACTTGGAGGCTACTAAAGTCAGTTACTGTCATGGACCCCTTCTCGCTTACTGCAGGCGCTCTTCAGATAGCTGCTGCCTGTGTTTCATGCACCAGCACCGTGATAAAGATATACGGGGATATCAATTCCGTCGACGCTCGAATCAGGTCCTTCTGCGATGAAGTAGCGGCTTTGCGGGCCACTTACGAGGGCCTGGAGAAGAGCCTGTCTTCTCCTCCGCTAGCTGAGGCTGTGCGTGTGGCCAATCAGACCGATGATGGCGCCCATTTGTGGCGACAGATCAAAGATGCGCTCGATGATTCCAAGAATACCATGAAGCGAGTCAATGATATTCTCACTCAGATTGCAAAAACATCTGGATTCGCACGGAAGGTGAAAGCTCACTTACAAGAAAATCTCCACAATGGCGAATTATCTCGACTCCGCCAGCGCATCCAATTCTTCAACTCGGCCTTGTCGCTGCCTATCCAGATGGTCTGCGTCATGCTCCAGCTTGAACAAAGAGGAATAACAACCGAGCATCAGACATCTCTGGATGCCAAACTGATCGCACTAGAGCGAACTATGAGGGCGCTTGTTCAAAGTCTCAATTCGCCCTCCCGTTCGCAAACTCTCAGTGGCTCGACGATCGCTGCTACAGAGAAATTGCGGTTGGACCAAGATGATGGAATGAAGACTTATATTGCCTTTGCCAAACAATTCCTAAGTACCGCATCCGCTGCTGCCAGCACGAGGTCGTCGTTGAGTACCATCTCGCCAGCCATCGAGCCTGATGCCCTTCGTGATATGGCCAAGACCTCGGCCAACGAAGTGCCGCTCCCAGCAGATCGCAGAAACCGCGTGGAAGGCTGGATTCAACCTCCTTCCCGCTCTACTCTACAGTCAGGCGGGTTCACTCGACAGCCTTCTAGATCGGCCAGAGGTCATACAGAGGCTTATTCCGATGTGGAGTTCCTGCGCACTCAAAACCACCTGAAATTGGGCCAGGAGAGCTTTGAAGACGGCGACTATGCCAAAGCAGAGCGGCATTTCCGAAAGGCTCTAGCTCTGATGGAGCGTCATGACTTTGAGGGCAGGATATCCTTTCAGCCTGCAGAAGTAGTTCTGATGCTGGCGGACTGCTGCCGGCAGCAAGAGAAGCTTGATGAAGCAGTCAAGCTGCTGGAACCGGTTGCGGCCATGCGCACTGATATATTCCCAAGCAGCTCGAAGGACCAGAACAGCCCCGAGGAGACGCAGCCAGTGTCGCATCAAGTTCCCGACAAACTGCAAGCATTAGCAGCGAGCCACATGCTGGGACGTGTATACATCCTCAAGAGCGATTTTGACGCGGCGGAGGAGCATGGACTAAGGGCGTTCACGGAGCGTAGGAAAGAACTCGGACCGCAGGACGAGAAGACATTGGAATCTGTGCAGTTGGTCATCGATGTCTACAGAACACGGGGTGACGACGGTGATGAAGAGGAAGCCGAAGGGTACGAGGTGTTTCTCTCTCCTCCCGAGAAGGCAACCCCGACAGTTTCCACCGAGAAGCTGTTGAACAAGGTCGGAGAACCTCAGCCCAGCCCGGACCTGGTTTCACCAGAATCACCTCTAGCTCCGGAGGCGCAAAACAGTCACCGACCGAAACTCGTGAACCGACTACTGCATCGTGGTCGCCCCTCTCAGTCGGGTTCTGCTTCAAATCTGCCCTCGCCGGAATTGCTGAGGTTGTCCATCTCCAGGTCAGTAACACTGAATGATGCGCTGGATCCTGACCCTTCTGGTCCATTTGGGATTCGGGGCCTTAGTTCGCCCTCGGAAACGTCGACTCATGACCGCTCTCTGTCCATCAATGATGATAGCTCCATAACGACCCCGGGAAGCGCGCAGCTTGAACGATCTTCATCAAGCAAAACCCTTGAGCCCACTTATCAAGCCATAGCAGACCTCTGCCACGAAAGAAGACTTGATAAAGCGGCGAAGGTCGCGTTGCAGTATCTAAATACCTACCAGTCCAACTATATGGTCATCCGAAAGCCAGAGCTCAGGGACAATATCCGCCACGGGACCGGGTATGGTCTCGCTAGGACCGGGCGAGGATACGCACCTCTACATTTCTTCTGTGAACTCAAGGAGGAGCACGCGGAGGAGGTTAACCTACTGATCAAACATGGGGCGGATGTCAATGCCATTGCTTTTCAAGCGGGCTATACCCAGTCAAATCCCAAAGATCCCTTCACCGCCTTGCAGCAGGCTACTGAGAGGGGCTTTTCCACCATCACAGGTCTGTTACTAGCGGTGAGTGGCATCAAAACCGACGTTCGGGATCCAGAAGGATACACACCGTTGATGGTGGCTTGCAGAAAGGGCCACCACAGTATTGTCAAGCAGCTGCTGGAATTCCCTCTGCCGACCGAGTTCCCTGCGACCTGGCATGGCAACACACTCCTCCACGACGCCGCGAGACGCTGCGACCCAGTGCTAGTGGAAATGCTTTTGGAGCATACCGCTAACATCGACGAACGAGATCGGTTCAGCAAGACGGCGCTGATGCACGCCGTGGTCAAGGCCGACATAGCAGATCCGTCTGAGAAAAGGAGACGGATCAGGGGCCGGTGCAAAACAGTGCAAGTTCTGCTTGAAGCAGGCGCCGACCCTACGCTCAGGGATCACAGGACAAACAAGACGGTGCGAGACTATGCGATGGAAGAAGACGATGCCGAGTTATTGATGCTCCTGGGCCAGGTCCCGAGGACAGGCATCAGCGAGCTGGTGGCATGAATTTGTGTGGTTGCTCAGCTGGGCGTTTGCGTCTTGCTCTTGAGACAAATTTTCTCGCCATGGAGGATTGTTGTGGCGTTGTAGCACTCACAATTAGAACTTGATTCTCTGAACCTTCTCGCTCAATACCAACAGAGGCACCGCCACATATAGCGCCACAGCATGATAACGTCACACATTTTCCAGTGGCGCCTGCTGTACGAGGTATAAAAGGGGCCAAAGGCACCAAGCAATGCAGGAAGCATGTGGGGTGACCAAAGTGCACCAAGTGACGCTCCAAGGCCACAGCTGAGCCTCAGTTTCAGGCGACGAAGTCTGAAACTTGACACAGCAAACACGCTCCTTCTGTCCTCGACACTGCTACCAAGCCGTGTACCGAGTATCGCGCACACAACTATTCAATTCATCGCTCAGCGACTCAACCAAAATGTCCGACACTATCCCGGCGCTTCTCATCATCCTTATCACAATCCTGTGTAAGTCTGGCTTTCGAATCTTGTCGCGTGGAGCTGCCATATGGAGCCACTCTTTCTGGCCTTCCCAGCCCTCAGTCATGTTCTCTTGCTGAAACCCAAGTATCTAGGCCCTCCGGTGGGAGTCTACCTCGTCGCTGGCTGCGGCGCCGACCTCTTCGTTAACATTTGCCTTACACTCCTTGGCTACCTCCCCGGCCACATCCACGCCTTCTACATTGAATATGTATATTTCGATAGGAGGGATAGGGCCAGACACGGACAATTGACAGGCCGTCACGCCCCAGGAGTGTATAGTGAGAGAGTGCAACATGGAGGGGTCGTGGGGTACGGGACAATTTAGGAACACGGTCCTCGACGCAGGCGGGTCGACTGAGACGAGGTTAGGCCGGTCGCTAGAAGAGGAGGTGTCTGCGAGGATATGGAGGTCTGCTGAGCGACGTCTATCCTAATGGGGCCCGTGACTTTCCCGGTGACAAGGATTGGGGTGGTGAAAGCAAGGCGCAACGATGGGACGCCAGCCCTTCCCCAGACGCCATGGCATGTGGGAAAATGGCATGGGGTTTTCGACAAAGAAGACCAAGAGCTATTCTTGTTTTGTACCATATCTGGTGTCCTTTGCTTCTATCGACGGCGGGCTGCTAAAGCCCGTCTGGGGTTCTCTTCTATAACTTGCGATGGTTAATTATCCACTAGAGTCGACGGTTGAGGTAGCTACCAAGCTATATATGGACCATTTCCTGGATATTTGTGACGCGCAGATTCGAACGGCTCAGATAAGGCCGGGGCCCATGGGAACGACTATGAGTGAGCTCGCCGTGGTATAGGATTACCGAGTACATTGAGCGTCCAAGCGGTATTCCATCGGGTGAGCAGGTCTACTTGTAGGTAAGAAGCCGGGCTTGGTGAGGCCTAGAAAGGCCGAGGGTAAGCGGGCGTAGGCCGCTCATCCGCCCTTCTTTCCTTCAGTCTCACTTCAATGGCAGAGTGTCTATCGCAACAGTCTTTCTATTGTAGGCAGAAAGGTCTAGTATTATCCCTTTTCACCTATCATGGCCCACTGGCCAGTTTCTAGCCTCGATCTTTGGGGGCCGATCTATTCTCTCCACCGGTGTCTGCTTAGACCCAAGCTTTGACAAGTCGACGCAATGTTGGCCCCCAATCCTCAGGCCAGACGCCTCCGACACCAGTGGCTTGCAGTGGTTTGCGGTGACTTGGAGCCCAACACAGCCCATTATTTGTGCCATGCTCATCCCACCTTGTACGACCTAGACTGTTTCACTTTGCCGAATCTTCGAAAACAAAGAGCCCGCAAGCAAGATGACTGCGAGCATTTATTATATTGAGTCCGGGTTCTAAGCCTCAAGTGTTGGACAAACCCGCAAGATCTCTCTTGAGTTCGCCTTGCCGACAGATGTCCGACTCCATCGAGCTCTCCAGTCCTTATGGCTCCGGTCTTTATGGAATGGGGGGAAGGCCTCACACGAGACCCTCAGTCAGGTCACTCGCTTCACTTCATCGCAAGTCGGCTTCTGCCCAGTACAATCCTATCTTAACTCCACAGGAAGAGCTGAGCGGCGGCTTCTTCCAGCGCCGCGTGGATAATTCGCCGCCGCCGTCAACGACGACTCTTCCTCCGGGCCGAGTGGGGAAGTTTGGGACAGACCTGCTGGTCGAAATTCTTGTCTGTTCCTTCGCCGTTCTGGTATCGGTGCCGTTCATGTGGTTGGCTGTCACCGCGGCAAAATTTGACGGCCACAGAGTGACGGAGGCAGATACAGATTACATCAAACAAACAACAAGCACGGTTCGCATTACATGGGTGCAAGTCAGCTGAGAATAGGTTTTGACCAGTACAGGCATCGACGCTCTTCACCATCCTCTTCGCAGCCGTCCTAGGCTCGACACTCAAACGATTCGCAACTTGGCGACTTGAGAATGGCGTCAGACTCGGTCTGCTGGAGCAGATCATGCAGAGCCGGACCTTTTTCGCGGCTGTCACAACCCAACTGTCTTTCCCAGCCTTCAACCTCACCGCCTTGATCTTGTTGTCAAGCTGGGTATTTTCGCCATTGGGATCACAAGCTTCCCTGCGTCTCGTCAGTACCGGTCGTGATTACACCGCAGATTCTGGCACAGTCAGCTATGTCGACACCATCACCAATCAGGTCTTCGACTCGGTATCGGGAGTAGACTCACTACTGACTTCGCTCAAACCGAGCTATGTAAGCTCGGTTCTTGGTCCGACCACCATGAAGAATGGGACTATGGATCTCTGGGGAAATGTTAGGATCCCATGGCTGCTCGACAATCTCGACAAGAACGCCGACGGTTGGAGCATTCTATCCAAGGCGAATATGACGGAAGGCTCATTCTCAGCCCTTGTCGGTGTGCCCATGGCATCCTTGGCAAATCGGAACTCGAGCTTTGTTATCGAAACGACGTATATGAATCTGGACTGCGACAAGCCACGCGATCAAGACGAGATCAGTATCAATTTCAACGTGACGTCCGGAAACGGCACCTTTCTGGGGCCCAACACCACGGTTAGCAGCGACGCCATCTATCCATTCTGGCAGGTTGCAATGAACCAATTCGTCTCTGATGATTACTACTTCTACGGCTACCCAGAACAGTTGGTCAATGTTATAGGTGCCAACATTCCTCAGGCTACTTTCCTATTTCAGACTCGCGGCCCGTGGGTGGCGAAGTGCCAAATCAATCAAATCTACCTGGAATCGAACGTGTCATGTCAGTCGGTGCCTGATTCAGAACTTCCTGTCTGCTCCGTCACGGCGCAGCGGAATTCACCAAACAAGCATGCACCGTCAACGGTAACTACACTCAGCTTCCCCAGCACTTTCTCCTATCTTGCCCAGACATGGATTCTTGCAACCGACCCGCTGCCCAGCTCTGGCTATTCATCTCTGAGCGAGTATTACCTCCAAAACACAACCGCGGCTTTCATTCTAAGCGGCAATGGTCGCAACTATGCTGATTATTCGAATGTCACCGCTCAACAATTTTCCCAGCGACTCGGCCAACTTCTGAACACTTGGGTACTTTTGAGCCAGGTCTCCGCGGATACCATGCAGTTTCCCTTGAATCACAGGAATACCACCGCTTTTTACACGGAAGGGTACGATGTTTACGTCGTGTCATGGGTCTGGTTGGGCGTCTACTGCGCATCGATCGGGGTCATGCTGGTTGCAGCCTTCTGCAGCATTTGGTGTGCGTATAACACGACCATCCCGGACGTGCTATCATTCTGCTCGTCTCTGACGAGAGATTCGACGTACTTTGATTTTGCAAAAGGTGGCAGTGCACTGGATGGGATAGTCAGGGCCAGGATGCTGCGGAATGTTGAAGTGAAACTCGGTGAGGTAGTTGATCGGCGCGCCGATGACGGATTCGCCACTGACTTTGTCAACGACATCAATGTCAGGCGCGGCTCGCCGATGGCGCACCTAGCTGTGGCTCCCCCAGAGTATTTGCGGAAGCCGAGACGTGGTCTATTGTACGCCTGAGATAGGACGTGATGTCTCACCAAATCGTAATGAAGGTAATGCGATATGTAAGAAATGTAGCTCTCTGGTTAATCACCATGTCAATGGCAGAAACAGAACTAAAATGTGCCGCCTCGCTCATGTACAATTCCCCTCCACGTCGAGACGTTTGGCCCATCAAGCCTTGTCATATGACTGTCTTGGCAGACGCGATAGATGCTTTGACCGCGTCACGCGTTTCTCCCCGATTTCCAATGCTGCGATCCACGACTTGAGTTTAGACACCGTACTGCCACCACTGCCTATTCGACCAGGTAGCGGCTCTCGTGTCAGTCCATTGAAGATCGGTGCAACTATCTGTAAGATTTTGCTTTGTCGGGTCTCGCTTTATACATCGTCATGGACACTGAAGTCGCTCCCGCCCCGCTACCTACGCCTTCCTTTCCGGCTGCTCAGCTCACTCCTTCCAAGAAACGCAATCGCGAAGGAGATATTATCCATCACCCTTCCCTCACTTCTCCAGGGGATCAACAGAGTAGTCCCCTGACTGCTGAACACTCTTGCTGTGGAACCCCAGACTTCAGCGAACGAAGTACTCCATTGACCGAACTCGGTGCCACACCTGTCCTTAGTCCAACAAAGCAGTCCACCATGGCACCTGCTGACGGCAAGAAGCGGAAGCTCGCCTTCGCCGAAAAGGAGGCCGACAAGGCAATCAAGAAGGCTGAAAAGGAGGAGAAGAAGAGACTGAAGGCCGAAGTTAAGGCTAGAAAGGACGAAGAGAAGAAACGCAAGGAAGAGGAAAAAGAGGCTGCTCGCAAGGTCAGAGAAGAGAAGAAGAGACAGAAAGATGCAGAGAAGCAGGAGAAGGAAGCCGAAAAGCAACGGAAGGAAGCTGAAGCGTTGAAGAAAGAGAGAGTAGGTTTTGGACCTCAGATTGGACTCCGCTTTAGATGCTCACCCTTCCCCCTAGTCACAAATGAGAATCGGTGCATTCTTTGGTCGCCCAACGGCTGCTTCAACTTCGCCAGCTATTGACCTTGGGGTTATCTCTCGGGGTTCTACGCCTTCTAGAAGAGGATCGGTCACGTCCATTGACATGGGACCACCTCTGGTTGAGACCAAGGTGTCACCATCCAAACCAACCAATCCCAGCTACAACGAATGGATCCTACCTTTCTTTGTCAACGAGCATATGGAAGTCGCACCGTTCAACCGCTTCTACACCAATAGTGGTGCATTCAACGATGAACAACTGCCTCTCAACCAAAATCTCACGCCCGAGAAGCTCGGAAATCGATTTCGGAGACGCCGTCGCATCCGACCAGTGAGACCCGTGAGAGAAATCTTGAACGAACTGAATGGCTCACAGACTGTTGCCATCGACCTTACAGACCCTGCAAAAAGTTTGGCCGACCTCCCTTACAAGTATTTGTTTTTCCATGAAGATGTTCGACCTGCCTATCAGGGGACATATACGAGAGTTGTCTCACCGCGAAGTGCAAGAAAGCTTGCCATCAATTCTGCTCACAGAGGATTGCCGGACACGAACTATGACTACGATAGCGAGGCGGAATGGCAGGAACCCGAGGAAGGAGACGAGGAAGTTCTGGACGATGACGAGAAATCCGAAGATGAGGACGGCGACGAAGAGATGGGAGATTTTCTCGATGACGAAGGAGAGGTGGCCAAACGTCACTTGATTGTTGGTGACATGGAACCCAAGTGCAGTGGGTTGTGCTGGGAAGGCGAGCACAGTCATCCTCAAGATGGCTTCGACTTATCCTTCTACCGTATGGACGTTTTGCACGACTCAACAACCTTCCCGATCGATCCGTACTCGACAACGCACTGGGTGGATATTGGGAAGAAGAGTCCAGTCAAACGCGAAGAGAAGCTGCCGCAGACTGTTTCAATGCAGCCTCCTCGCCCACCACTGATGGCAGTTGACGGAAACAGTGGCAACCAGATTTCTCAATCCAGCCTTCTGAAGTTTGCATCAAGCGATGGGCAATCGGAGAACCCAGTGTGCGTGTCCAAATTGAAAGCGAACACCGCTTCTGGTAAACCGGTCAAGAACATCCCGTCAGAGTTGATACCCGCTTTCAAGGAAGCAGTGTCAGGCAGCACACTAACAAAGACCGGATTGATCGAGGTGCTGAAGAATCAGTTTCCGAAGTGCTCAAAGGATGCTATCAAACACACTCTCGAGGCAATTGCAGAGAGAAGAGGCGTGAAGGAGGCTGAGAAAAAATGGGTATTACTCGATTGAGGATTCCGAGAGGTTGCTATTTGACGAGGCCTTTGAAGCAAAGAAGCGAGATGAGGCAGTTAACAGTGTTCCAAGAATCGAATGCGTTCCTCTGGCATTTGCCTCCAGCAGAGAGCATGATCGACAAACATCAGTGGCTGTATGGTGCATTCACTGAGTACATTAGAGAGAATGGGACGAGCAGAGGATATAGACAGCCCCAGCCAGAATACCATGGTTTGAAGATGCTACTGTCCCTTAACCCGGCTTCTGCTTGATCGAAAATCCGTCTTGTGTAGCTCTAGTCTTCTTGGTGGTGGTTGTTAGCTGCCAGCCACTTTGCCGAGCACCTCTCCTAGCACCTTTTGAATGTAGATAGAGCCAGAGGACGACGAGATGGAGAAAAAGGGGCTTTGTGATTATAGGCGCTAACGGCGTGTCAAATCGTGTCCCTTTGTCTTTTCTCCAAGTCCCTGTTCTCACCAACACTTTCTCTTGTCCTACCCCTGTCCTGTAATATCCTTTTCCTATCCTCCAACATCTGGGATCTATTCGTAAGGGGCGCCAATACAGACCCGGCCTATATCCATTTAACCCGGGATAGCACAAGCTTAGATTTCGTGTTCACGACTCCGCCCCCATATAGCCTTTGGTGTTTCTTGACCGGGTCACGACATTGCGTGAGGGCAGAGTACATGCTTGTGGGAGGGAGAGAGAAGAGAAGACGAGAACGAAGGAGAATAAAGGAAGAAGAATCAATAAGATAGGAAAGGAGAGGTAACAACCACATATTAACATACTGGCTCGGCCAAAGCAAGCGAGCCCGCTCCCAGGTTGTCCTGGGTTAAGTCGATATATATACCATTTGACCATTTCTGGGTCGTCGAGGTTCGAATCACTCACTCTACTAACCAGTGTTTGTCATCGTCGCACCGAAGAGGCTCGGAGACGATCTATCGAGGTTCATGAGCCAGAAGGTGGGGGATATACGCAAGAGTTCTGGGGGGGTTTTGAAACACCGTAACTACTCTGTTTGGTATCCATCTATTACAGGCGCTTTATCTCATTGTCATTTTGGACTGAGCACGCGCAATCCGACACGAAGATGGGCGACGCCGCTGCGCCACCCACGTCCTCGACTTCGCAGCGACCGGTCCGCTCCGGCCTGCCCAGCGCCCACCCGACCGCGTCCTTCTGGCAGACGTCCTTCCCGAACCGCCTGGCTGGCCACCGCTCCACGCCGGAGCTGCCTGCCCGCGCGGACGTGGTCGTCGTCGGCACGGGGATTAGCGGCACCTTTGCGGTCGACCACTTGTTGAACAGCAACAGCAACAGCAGCACGGTCACGTCCTCCTGGGCGCGCAGAAGGACAGAGGCAGAAACAGCTGCCATGGAAACAGGCCTCGGTCTCGATGTCCTGGTCCTCGAAGCCCGAACGCTCTGCTCGGCCGCCACGGGGAGGAACGGCGGACACTTGCAGCCCGTCATCCACAATGCGCCGGCGCACATAATCGATTTCGAGCTGCGAAATTTCCGCCACATCGAGGCGTTGGTGCGGAATATAGACAAAGCCAGCGATGCCGGCAGCAGCAATATCAACAGTTGCGATTATGACACTACGGCGACGTCCTCATCATCGTCGTCGCCTTCTTGGTGTGACTTTCGCAGGCTCGAGGGGTGTCTTGGGTTCTGGAACGAGGAGTATTTCAGGGAAGCGAAGCGGGACCTCGCCGCTGCCGCGGCGAGTGTGGACAAGAATAAGAGCGGTATTCCCCTGGAGGACTACTCCGGATTAGCCAGGGTGGTTGAGGATGCCGAGGAGTTGGGGGCGCTGGGATTGAGGGTGGAGAGCGGCGCAGTGGGCGCAATCGTCCAGAGCGTGGCGGCTAGTTTGAGTCCTTACAAGCTCTGTGTGGGCGTGTGGAGGGGCTTGCTTGAGCGGTTCGAGCAAAAGGCTATTCCAACGAGGACGACGACAGGCAGTCACGAGACGGAGAGAACAGTGCCAAAACAACGCAAGCCAAGTCTGAATTTACAGACGAATACACCTGTCACGGCGCTGGAGAGATGTAACAACGACAACAACGACGATGATAGAGGCGGTTGTTGGATACTGCATACACCTCGCGGATCTGTGCGAGCGCGCGCTGTCATCCTCGCCACAAACGCATACACCTCCCATCTGCTCCCGGAGTTCGCACCCCTGATCCGCCCTGTGCAGGCCCAGATGTCTGCTCTCGTTCCCCCACCCTCGTCAGGGCAGGGCAACGGCGGCGGGGCCGGCGGTTGGGGTAGAATGGCGACGAGCACGCGTAAAGCGAGGAAGTTGATCCCGATGAGTTACGGGTTCATGGGCGTCGGCGACATGGACAGGGTCATGAGCGACTACCTCGTGCAGAATCCGTACGCTGAACCCCACCACCAGCATGGTTTCAATCACCAAAACAAAGCCGAGCATGGAGACACGGGAAAGGACGACGAACGCGTGTCCAGCGAGGGCGAGGGCGCAGGAGGCCACCTCATGTTCGGCGGTGGCCGGCACCTCGCCCCCAACCACGGCGAGGGCGTGTGGGACGACGACTTTGTCGATGACCGCGTCGAGATGTATCTGCGCGGCCTGCCGCAGAGACTGAACCTGAACTTGGACCCTGACCTGAACCTCGACCTTAACTCTGAACTTGACCCTAACCTTGCCCAACACTCCGAACCCGAACCCGAGAACGAAACACACCTCGCCATCGCGGCCTCCTGGACAGGCATCATAGGCCACTCCTCGGACGGGCACCCGTGGGTGGGGGCCCTGCCAGACCGCGCGGACCTCGCGGGCGTGTTCGTCGTCGCCGGGTACACTGGCCACGGGATGACGAACGCGCCATTGTGCGGGCGCGGCGTCGCGAGGATGGCGCAGAGGTATTTCCACCAGGCAGACGTGGGTGGGAAGATGGATAGCGGTATGGACGGGGAGGGCGACGTCGATGTGCCGAAGGAGTACCTTATAACTAGAGAGCGGATGGAACGTGTCACCAGTGTCGTGTGACGGAGGGCAATGCAACACGTCCGCTCCTGTCAGCGCGAGTCCAACAGAACCTGCAGGCACGGGAACAGGAGCAGAACGGGAAAAAGACTTGATCAAAAGACTCGAGGTCAAGACCAAGGAGCCTCCCGAGTCCTTGTTAGATAGCTCAGTAGCTGGCCTGGTGAGCCCCATGAGAACTCCTCCTAGCGGTGTACATCGTCAAAGAGACGGACGAATGAGGAAGAGAATGACAAACGAGGACGAAGAAGATGAATACAATATGAATAAAGTAAATAGAACAAGTCGTATTTACTCCTCCCTGTCTGGCGCAATCAGTCCCATACATACATATCGCATAGCCAGCGTCTGCCCTCTGACAACACCATGCCATCGTCATCTCCCAGAGAGAAAAAGCAAACTCCTCTGCCAAAACTCCAGCCATGCTTGACAAACGTATGTTCGCGTCTAGTTCGCTTCGGATTCGATTCGTTTCAATCTCTATATAGTGGTGAGTTGGTTCTTGCCGCGTTAGACCTCGTATCCGCCTCCATCTCGCCTCGCCTTCGAGTGATCATCGCCATTGGTTTCAGACAAAGAAAAACGGACAGCCGTTGATGGTTCCACCTCTTGCTTCTCTTCGTATATGCTCGATACTTGATACTCCGCCTCTTCTATTTATTCGCAACACCTATCTTCAAGGGCCTCTGACTACCCTGTGAAACTCCCCATCGCACCCTCACCCCACAAGGGCGCCTGCACGTACTCTGCTGCCCTCTCATGCATATTACCAAAATTCCAATCTCCAGAACTACCCGTGCTATCAGGCGTGATAGGTCCCATGCTTCCCATGCCATTGGAACCGCCAAGCCCCAAGATTGTATTGGTGGTATTGAGCGATGGTGAATATGTTTCCTCCTTGACACCCGAGAGCGGCGGGTATTGGGACGATCGCGATTGTGTTGTCGGTGACGATGAGCTGCCTGCCAAGCCTGAGGAAGATCCCACAAAGTGGTTTGACGACTGTTGTCCATACGGCGTACCTTGAAACTTGGTTGTGTTCACCGATCTTGGTCCCGCCAGCGCGGCGTTCAATTTGCCCAACGCGTTGAGTGATTTGGCCATGCTGCGCGCCCAATGTGGAGATTCTGCAAGAGGTGGTTGCTCTCCATTCGAGAAGCGGCGATGAGTAGCGGGGCTCGCGTCTTGGGGAAGGTCGAATGCCGGGTCTTCATGTGTACGTTGTGAGATGACTGCCTCTAACTCACGAAGGAGAGATAGTCGTCGTGGGTCGCGACTCGTTTCCGGAAGTGTCCCTAGCAGGAATGCGGCAGAGATAGAGCGTTGGATTCCGATCCAGGATCGAGCGGCGAATTTGCTCAAGCCGTGCAATTCCACGTATGCCTCGACAGTGCCCTCCAAGCTCTGCACGCACAAATTGCGAAACTGCGCGATGGCCGTTGAGTCGAAGGGAGCTGTGCTCGGTGATTGACCAGTTGTGCCCGAGGTCCTCCGGCGACCACCGGGAGGCGACTGGACTGGTGTCAAATTATCAGCCGAGGAGGAAGATGGAGGTGGTGCTTTCAGCGCAGGCCGACAAAGCTCGCTCGTGATATAGCAGCTGTGCAGTTTCAATGCAAGACGCTCAAGATGTTGAGTCAATCTATAGCAGAGCTCTCGGTTTCGGAGGTGAGCAGCACCTTGTGAGACAATGGTCGTAATCTCTTCGGTGTACTTTTGAATTCTATCCCACGTCATGTAAGATCGAGGATGCAGCAGACGTTCGCGGATGATTTCCTGCGTCAGTCGGATGATGGCGAACATGCTTTCGGCGTAACTTCGATCTCCCGGAGAACTAAACTTGCCGTATGGAATATCCGGAATGCACAGCACGCTTGACGTAGGTCGATCATAACTGACTGCGAAGTGGGAATCTTGCCATGCGAGTGCCCACCAGATTCGCCGACGGGTCCATTTCTCGGCATCTGTGAATTGCTGCGAATTTATTTGCAATCCGATTGAGAAGGCCATGCGGAGTGTCATGCCTAGAAAGATGTACGCTACGCCCGGGTTCATATTGTACGACAGAACGTTTCCAATGATCAGAGAGGCTTCAATAGTCTCCAAACATGGATGTGTCAGGAAGTTAGACATCCGAAGCGCTTGATAGGAACAGCAGACTGCAATTAAAGGTCAGCTAAATGCTTCCTGTTCCATCATCTCCCTCTGGACCTTACTGTAGACTTGAGATGTGAGCTCCCTCTCTTTGGCTGGCCGGTCCGAGGACTGAGACCCGGACGCAAAGACAGCGAACACCAGTGATAGCCAGGGTAATGATACTCCATATGGCTTGTTGGGATCGAGTTCGAGGTTGTCGCGCAGTGCACGAGCACGATTGGAAAGCATAAAGTGTAGTGTGTCCTCGAAGCTGGAGGTATCCGGAACGACAGGATAAATGGTACAGGCAACATCTCTGTAGGCGACGAAGAATCTGGAACGAATTAGTGACTGTTCGACGATAGATACACAAGAAGCTCACTCGTTGCACAGCTCGTCATCTGGAATAGCTTTACACAGGCCATTGACGTCTTGCATGCTTGAATCGGTACTCCACAAGTCGACAAACGGATAAGTGGCGCTCTCGTTATCCAATCCAAGTTTGGGTAGGATGTTCTCCTCCAGCAAGGATTTGGCAGTGTCCTGAGCCGACCTGCTTCTGCCGAGGCCCATCATGTAGGCTAGAACTGATCTCGAGCCTAGGTGCATTGTCCCCATCTGATTGCTGGGAGCATGGATTCCTTCTCTCTCTGTCTCGTCTCCACGACTGTGTGCGCCCGTGAGGTTTGTGTCGTCCAGCTCTGCCTGCACCAAGGCTGGAGATAGCTGTTCTTCGGGTTTGACCACACCGCGCAACTGTTGTAGCTCCCTGTTCAGCCGCTCCCACTGTTCTCGCGGCACCGTGACGTTGGGACCAGTCTGTTGAATTGGGCTTTCCGATCCAGCGCCGTCGCGTTGGGCCAATGCACCACTAAGGGCAATGCGCCGCTTCTTTGTGGGGCGCTCGTAGGAACACAGCTCAGGATGGTCTCTCTTGACACAAGAATCACAGGGTAGGTTCCTATCACACTTGACCTTGCGGCGATGACACGCATAGCAGGCCTTGGGGTCCCGCACTTTTCTCTTGTTGCGGATGATCGCGTCTATCTCTTCTTGCGCCATTTCAATTCTGCCGTCTGCTCCGGTCTCCATGATCGGATCGTCGAGATAGTCACCACCAACAGTATCTGTCGCGGACACGCGTTGTTGGGGTTCCATGCTAGGTAGATCGAGGACGAGAAGTGTGAGGGTGCGGGAGCGGAGCTGAGCTGAGAGGTGTGGTTTTGCACCTCTCTACACAGACATGGTCACTGGCGAGACGGTGGAGCTGCAGAACCTCGTTAGGCGCAGGAGAGTAGCGGTTGGCAGAGATCAACAGGCGAGCAGACTTGTGCAGGATTGAAAAGAATCGGAAGAGTAAATGAGTATGCAAGTGGTGGGAGGGTCTGCAAAATCCCCCGCCTCCGAGTCGCTTCGGCTTGCAGGGGCAATCTGAGTGGCCAAGAGAAATCTTCGGAGTCGACTATTTGGGACTAGCACCTCTCGCTCCTTCGCCTTTTGCCTCAGCCTCGTCAATAGCATGATCATGTGGTCCAGCCTTGCCACTCTGATAGGTCCTGCAGGTCCTCGGTGATGACTACGTGTAGTTTTCCTGTGTCCGGAGCGCCTGGCCGGCAATGTTATAAGGCCCCAACGATAAATGGGTTGGTCGCTTCCATATAGAAAATCCGTGGCTTTCATCCCACGACATATTAGTACTACCTATGGTGCACCTTGCCGTTTGTGGTCAAGTCATGGTTTCATAAGATCCATGGTCCGGAACAATAAACATCTCCCCGGGCTTTGATCAGTTGCTGACACAGAAGAAATGAATCGATTGGATTTTGGTTGTACAAAAGGGGTGTTCCTAAATGTTTCTTTTTGTCCATTCATGACGCCGCATCCACGTAAACCACGTTCCATGTGTCCTTGTACACCATCGCATGTATCGTCTCAAAAGGCGCATTAAGTGTTGTTGATTTGGGTAGCTTTCAAGAGTGTGTCAGGAGTTCCCGATGCCCAATTGAGATCAAGCATCCTCCCCCATTTTGGCGTCCGAAATCCTCCATCGATCAAACCATCGGAGGTATGCGTATTGTCGATTGCTTCCCTGCATACCGAATACAACTGGGCTGAATAGGACAAACAATCCAATGACCACAGCGTACAAGATGAAACAGATACCCCATCGCACCTTGCTGTTGAGTCCCCGTGTGGTCCAATCCAGAGAGAACCCCGCCGCCAGAATTGCAAAGTATAGGGCTGGGTAGTAGTGGTGGACGTACGTGACTCGTCCCATAATCAAGAACGGGAAGTAGTGGAAGAACCATCCGATCACTGGGTAGATCCCTGAGTAGTGGATTTGGTCAATATCTGCCTGGCTGAGTTCGTTGTAGCCTCGCTGCCAACGAATCAAGTACCAAGCGACGATAAGGCCAACCACACCCAATGAAGCTGTCGAGCCCCAGTACACGATCGGATTGCCGAGCAAGAAGTATTTGGTGACATGATCCTCCCATGAGCACATGCGGAGTCCCACGTGCAGAATGGGCCACTGCCAGAACTTGGACGCAAGATCATCTTGCTTGTCGGGATCTGGGACAAGCGCATTGTTCGACGTCATCATGGCAACGTTGAGATGGATGAAATCCTTCAAGAAGGGTGATCGGTAGTTTGCAGCATTTCCAGGAGGGACTGTAAAATGTCAGCAAAAACAAAGAGACACACCACAAACACAACGGGCTCGGACTTACGTCTATCGTTGACATGCGATTCAACGTTCCAGTGAGTGTACACATCGCGAGGGTTTGGCTTCTTCACACAGGTTGTTTCAATTTGTTTGAAACCCCACTGGGGAAGATTGACGGTTCCAGCGCGAAGATAGCATCCGAGTTCAACATGCTTCAACCTAAACGCTGTGGTCAAAGTCCGGATGCGGGACCTATCGGAGGAGGCGGCATCGCTAACAACCTCGATCTGCCAATGATCTTTTTCATCACCGACAGTAACGTTGCCATAGCAGGAAACCTCCCAGTCGGCCTTTGTAATAGGGGCCGCAACGGCGTGTGAATGGAGATTTCGACCAGTTTGAGCATGGATAAGACGGACAACCTGTTTGTCGGCGATGAAACTTAATGGTCCTTCCGGATCATAGTCAGGCTGACTTCGGTTGGGATAGAAAAACCAGTCGTTATTGGCATCCTTGTGGTGGTAGCAGGTGACTTGCTGCTGACCACTGCCTTCGGGATATGTCTGAACATGGGAATGCAGTAGACCACCGCCATATCCCATGTTCTTAAGCGTGACTTTGGATCCAATTGCAATTTCAAGTGGCGAGTCCCTTCCAACTTCAGTGCCGCGGAGGTTAGCCTGGAAGAGAGAAGACATCTGCGCATCGCCGGGTCCCGAGTTCTCCAGGATCAAGAAGTGGACCCAGAAGGAGAACATGTAGACCATGATGGGGATGACAATCAAGCCAATAACGCGAGCAACTAGATGAGTTGCAAGTTCGACCTTGGGCATCTTCAGATCACCAAACTTGTTCCACAAATCTTCCGCAGTGTACAGACCAACGAGCGCTGTGGCGAAGAGTCCCACCCACTTCACGCTGCACACACACCCGATACTCAGGCCTGTCAAGAAGAGCCAGATGAACCATTCAACAGAGAAACTCTTGTGTTGGAGTCGATGGAACCTCGCCCAGCACAAGACAGTGGTAAAGGTGAAACAGAGCAGCATGGAGTCGAGTAGAATAAACCGAGAAATGGTAGCGTACGAGTTTTCGCACAGCACCATGAGAGTAACGAGCCACACCGCAGTTCGTTTGAAGTTCAATTCACGTGCAGTGTAGTAGGCGAGCGGGACAGTGACGACGCCGAACATGGCATTGAAAATCCGCATGAAGGTGTAGTTGACTTCTTCGGGGTATGTCTCGCCGGACTTGAACTCGAACGATCCATTGTATCCTGCAAGGTAGCCAGACAAGCCCACCAACATCTTTCCCAGCGGAGGGTGGACATCGAAATAGAATTCCCGCTTGAGGTAGTGCGATCCGAATTTGCCAAAGCTGAGACTCCTGTTAGCTGCGAGTGCAGGCTCGAGATCGGTCTTTCTTACTGAGCCTCATCCCAGGTGACAATGGGAGAAAGTCCTATTCGCCAGAGCCTCGTGAACAAGGCAAACGCTGTGAAAATGATTGGGGCGATCAAAAACTCCCAGTCGTCGAGGAAATGCAGAATGCCCGTCTGCGGCTGGAGACATCATCACAGTTAGGTTTCATGTATTTTATACTTGGTAGGAGCCCAACCTTTTGCAGTTTCTTTGTATCTTCAGCTTCGAGCTTGTAGACATGTTGTCCGTTGGCCTTTTCATAGCTGGCCACATTTCTTCGGCGCAGTTCAGCCTCGTCTTTCCCTGCGCCGGTCGAGTGGCCACTGTTCGTGGTGGCCATGGTTGTAGGGAGGGTAGAGTTAGGAGAGAAAGATGGGAATGGACTTGAGCCGAGAAGACAGATGTCTCAAATTCGCAGAAACAGTGTAACCGTGAGTCCAGGGAAAGTAGCTGGGGGCCGGACGGATTGAAAAGTCGCCCTGGAAACGCGTGTCGAGGAAGAAGTGAAAATGATTAGGAAGAGAACGAAGGAATCGCCATTCAAGGGAAGAAGGTTGAAAGGGAAAAGAAGGAGAAAGAGTAATCCTTGGACCTGATGGCCTTAAGAAGATAAATTCAGCTTAAGGAGGGTTGGAACCTCGAGTGTACAAGATGGCAGATGTACAATGCCTTGACTTTCGCCAGCGTGTCGAAGGGCCACCTTGGCACATATTGGGAAAAGGGGGGGATGGCGAACTCCACCTGAACTTTTGACACGTGAAAGGGAGATCCAAAAATACTTTCGTTGAGGGTTCTCTCCTTCCCTGAGGTCTCGTTCAATGTTTTATCTACTCGGTCTCTTGGTTCAGCCATGCCAATGTGGAATGGCATTTAGTGCCCATTTCAAGCTAGATTGATGCGGCCGCTGGTGGTGTCGACGTCGCGGAACAGATTGCCCGCCTCCCTACAATATCGCACCTCTCCGGTCCCAGTGCTGCCGACCTCGCTGCCCCAACATATCACCACAGCGTCGACGATGCATGCCAAAACTCCCTCCATTGCACCTAGAATGCCCCAACCGATGGCTCCAGCAACAAGCCCGACTATGTAAGCGTAAAGGCTCCCGCGAACTCCAGCTCCGTCCAGCTTGAGAGTTCGTGCTGTAGTGACCCACCCACCGAAGCCCAATGCCAAACACATGATAAATCTCGTCGCGTGGAGGATGAGCTTGGCCAGTCGATATGGAAGGAGAGGTGTGGCATCATTTGACCAACCGTCATTTCTCCGGTAGCGACTGAACGTGCCTGGATGGAGGGCTGTCGTGGCGTCATTGGGGGCTAGAAAATGCATCTGCGAGAGTCCTCTGGCGCTCACAGCCAGAGGCTGAGAATGAATTGCAGCGTAGGTAAGGGTGAGCGGATTAATCAGAACTGCAATCGGACTAGGGATGAATGAGTACATCGCCACTCCAAGAAGCATTGTCAATCGCCGAGGCAGAACGAGCAATGGCAGCCGGACCAGAAGACTCAAGCCGGTGAATAGAGCTATCGTGCCAAAGAGTGTCGTAGCCGAGTGTTGCAATGCAGCTTTCACGATAGCTTGAGGTGTCGCAGCCGGTACCGCCAACCGATGAAAATACCACTGGGATACCGTGGCCGACGTGATGGTTCGCTGCATCCCAAACGCAATGGCGATTGTCCAGAGGTACACGAGTATAAAGTACACTCCGAGCCACCATGTTGACGTGTCAATGACGAACTTGCTGATCGTTGACCGAGTTGACGGATGGCCCCCAAGGAACACTCTCGCGAACATGGACAACCATATCCATGTGAAGCTTACGATGAAAGCCAGGACAGCAAACCCAACCAACACCAATGTCGGGTTCGCGGCTAGGATTCGAGTCGAAAACTCCAGAATTGAAATCGCCTTTTGCATGACCAACCGCCCACGCAGAACGGCCAGAATCCACAATGTGGCCATGATAGAAGGGACCAGCGCGCTCCATCTCATGACGGCATCTTGGATGCTTGATCCATGCCATGATCCTTGGAAGCTGGAAATCAGCGGGTAGAGAGAAAAGGAGTAAAGGATAACCGGGACAGTCACCAAGATGCCGTATACCAGATATCGAACGTATGATCGAAGAGCAGCAAGCCAAAACAAGGAAACGAAGGTCGCTACGAGGGTATATGTCGCCAAAAGATAAAACGATCCATGCAAAGTCGTGTAGACGGTATCGCCGAGAGGCCGGTTCGTGCTTGGCGATTGTGTGTGAAGCCAGACAAGGAACCAGCTTGCACACATGGCGGCGACCGAAAGCAAATAAAGCTGACCCCAGAAGGCGTCATGTCTCGGTTGTTGAATCTGTGGTGTTTGGATGCCATCTGGTACAGATTCAGTTCCCCCAGAGTGGTTCCGTGAGCGTCCCAGCAGACGTCTCCGCGTATTTTCTTCGTCCGATCCCTCCAAGTCATACTCGTCCTCTGTTCTTGGACTCTGTTTGCGCAACTGTTGAACCGAAGGGGGGTTCTCTATCAGATCTTCTGGCGGCTCGTCGTCATATTCGCTCCTCAAGGTGTCTTCTAATCCCACGTCAACCATTGGGTTCCTTTCCGACGCGGGGACGGGATTCTCTGGTTGTGATTCTGCAGATTCTGCGAGGTCCGCCAGCTCTGTTCCTTTTCTTCGTGGATTTGGGGCACCACCATGCCACGAGCTTCTGATACCACCAGGTCTCGCCAGACTTCGATCACGAGAATCCTCCCCATGACTGCTAGTTCCATTGAGACTGGAGCCGCTCCCGGCATCGACATCGGACGAAGCATGCAGATCGCTGGCCCCTAACTGCCGTCTTGATCTCTGAAGAGCATAGTAATCGGCTATCTCTCGTTCGTGCTCCTCCTCGTCATTTTCTTCCCGGAATTCGTCGGTAGCACTGTAGAATAAAGGCGCCTGTTGCGGGTTGAGGCGAGAAGCGAAGGGAAAGGCTGACAATTGAGAGGAAGTCGGCTGATAGGGATTCGGGACACGAGGATTCAGCGTCCTGGAGGCGGTGGTGGATCTCCACGTCTGGTTCGGTCGTCGTGCTGGTCTGCCCTCACCAGATCGACGGTCGTCCGCTGCTGTCGGCGCAAAACTGAGGCGGGACTGGGACTGAGCAAGAAACCTAGATGCGTCTTGAAACATATCAGCCCTGGCACTAAGCGTGGGATCAGTGAAATTACGGCTCACACTCGGAGAACATGCTGCCCGCAGGCAGTCACCACGCGGTGTATCAGTCGGTGAATAGATATAATTGATAAGCACGATTAATTAATAGTTGAAAGGCAGATCCCCTTCGATGGACCAATTTGGGCTAGGTGAGTGAATGGGAAGCTAGAATATTTCCTAGATATCGGTTGGTTGCGCGGTAGCACAGGAGACGTGGTGGTGAGTTGGTGGTTTGGAGATGATGAGTTCAACCTTCAGAGTCGGTCGGAAACGGTGAATAAAGACGAGGCACGATGAGAAGTCGAGGAGTGCATGACCAGCATGCCTAGCCCACCTAGGTAGGTTTGCCTGCTAGCCCACTACTACTCGGTGTAGCCTGGGGTGGCCCGGGCAAGTTCCAGGCCGTTAGAGCAACCAAAGTGCACAGACTTTTCAGGCGGCTGGGGGCCCGCAAGCCCGGAAATTCAGGTACACGTTGCAAAGGGGCACGCGTGCTCCTCACAAGCTCCTGCAAGCCTGTTCATCGTCATCGGGCCAGAGTCCTTCGCTGTTCATCCTCCATCTTTTGTCACTAGACTTCGTTGTTCCTCTCACCAACACTATTTTTCTGAGTTGATTGTGTCAGTCTGTAATCGAATCGACCAAATTTACTGTTCAGTCAAAGGAATAATACGATCCACCATCTCTCGAGTTAGACTCCGACATACTGGCCCGCCTTATTTTCTATGCCCAACCCAACACCAGTCCCTGCACTTCCGTGGAACTACATTGCAAAGTTGGTCTGTATAGGAGATTCAGGTGAGCAACCCTGGGTCTCTTAGCAATCCCTCTAACCGACCGCAAGGAACGGGCAAGTCTAGCTTGACTATCCGATTATGTGAAGGGAGATTCTCTGCCTCACATGATGTCACTATCGGCGTCGAGTTTGGGAGCCGAATAGTCCCTGTCGGTCCTCCTGCGAATGCATCTTTGGGCATCGGTACGCCAAATGGAGGAGCCAGTCATACCAATCCGCCACAGCAGAAGAAGATGAAGCTTTCGCTATGGGACACTGCGGGCCAAGAGACATACAAAAGTATAACGAGGAGTTATTTCCGTGGCGCGTCTGGGGCGTTACTAGTATTCGACATCACGAGAAGAAGCAGCTTTGAGTCGGTGACTCAATGGCTCAACGACCTTCGTCAGATTGCTGAGGAGGGTATCGTCGTCATTTTGGTGGGCAACAAGCTCGACCTGGCCGAACAGAGCACGGACACGGAGGGCGGCACCAAGCGAGCCGTGAGCAAAGAAGAGGCAGAAGACTGGTGTCGCAGAGAAAACGTGGTCAAGTATGTCGAAACAAGTGCTAAGAGTGGCGAGGGAGTCGAGAAAGCGTTCCTCGAGGTGGCAGAAAGAATATATCAGAATATCGAAGCCGGCAAATATGACCTCAACGACAGAAGAAGCGGAGTGAAAGGGTACGGGGCCGGGACTGGTCGAGCTGAAGGCAAGGCTCCCAAGACTGTCAACCTGACTATGAACGACGCCGTCAAAAGTGGGCAGGGCAGAGGCTGCTGCTGAAACCAGCTTGGTTACCCAATGGTTGTCGTCCGCCCCGGTGTCCACCAATCCAGGAGGTCCGACACCAGACAGGATAGCGGTTGGGTCCAAGTGGAATATCTAGAGACGTCTGTTGTCGTCTGGTTTGAGACTCGAAGCCTTATAATGTTGGTAAGTGATGCGAGGCCTGCCGGACTGGGTTCACGATTCGCCTTCCTATTCTGTCCCAGATACAGTTCCGACGGCGCTAGGTGAGGATTCTAACCGAACTACGAGGCATCAGGCATCACGCGGGATCGAGTCGGGCACGTCATCGACCTTTGGGATTATAGCATCATGCCATTCGAGGTTCGCCGAGAGCAAGCTTTGGCCAGCTTCTACCCCACCAGCCGCAACCGGTAAATGTCCACGACCTGGTCGGTCTTTGCGCCGGTGGGATGCCTTCGAAGTCATCGCTCGCCCTCTTCGTACCCAGAGGCGCTTCTTTTGCAAGAGCGCTTCAACGTCCATCTTTTCCGTGTATATATGATCCGCTTCGCATCACCCGCGGCCTCCATATCTCGCTTTCATCGACTTTGCCACAACCAGACCAAAAGTTTTCTGTGCACACGGGTCAATCATAGGCATTTCATAACCTTTCTTCCTGCAATGGCTAAATTAGATATCAACATTCCTGACATGGAGCTGCCAGATGGCAATAAGATACCGATGGTAAGTTCAAATTACCTCTCTCTTGAGGAGCATTGCTGACAGAAGAATGCTTTCCAGATCGGATATGGTCTGGGCACTGCATGGTGAGTTCTCTGCAGTGCTTTCCCTAGCCCGTTGAATACGTTTACTTTCCAACCGAGGTTATGTCCCTAAGTACTTATTGCTTCCGTAAAGTGATGACATCTTGTTAAGGAGGGAGAAAACCACACCTCATAGCAGGTCTCCCAATAACCACTAACCGTGACTTGAATCTGCAGGTACAAACAAAGTGCAGATGCTCCAAAGGATCAGGCAACCATTGATGCCACCAAGACGGCCATCAAGGTCGGCTATAGACATATTGACGGAGCCGAAGTGTACAATACAGAGGTGGAACTAGGCGAGGCGGTCAAGGAGAGCAAAGTGCCCCGCGATCAGCTCTTTATCACAACCAAGGTCATCACGCATATCGACGACATCCCAGGCGCCATTGATCGAAGCCTGAAGAAAATGGGTCTTGACTACGTTGACCTGTACCTCATCCATGCCCCTTTCTTCGCCAAAGGAGACGACAAACTGCTTCAGCAAAAGTGGGCAGATATGGAACAGGTTGCAGCTTCGGGAAAGGCCAAAAGCATCGGGGTCAGCAACTTCCTCCAACCTCACCTGGACGCCATTCTTCAGACATGCAAAGTTCGACCGGCCATTAATCAGATTGAGTTCCATCCTTACTTGCAACACGGAGACTTGCTCGCTTATCACAAGAGTAAAGATATTCGCGTAGCGGCCTATGCCCCGCTTACACCCGTCACAAAGGCAAAGGGAGGCCCAATTGATGGGTTGCTTGAATCACTGGCAAAGAAGTATGCCGTTAACCCGGGGGAGATACTGTTGAGGTGGTGCATTGATCAGAATGTATTGCCAATCACGACCAGCTCGAAGGAACAGCGGATGAGTGACATGTTACGAGTCTTTACCTTTGAACTGACTCCAAAGGAGGTCGAAGAGATTCGGGTTGAGGGAAACAAGAAGCATTTTAGGGCATTCTGGGGCCACATTTTTGATGCGAATGACCGGTCATGAAGTAGCCAGCCAGACAGCTTGCCTCCTCGCTTGGGAGGTGGTAAGGTACCTAACTTCGCCGCTAGCACTTGATCGTCATGCTGTACGTGGCTGCATACTCGTTAGTCGATCATGATGTACCTCGTATTTGGAACAAGTAGCTAGCTGCAATGGAGCTGCTGTGCTCCCTCTCTTTTAACGCTGTGCTGGTCTTTTCTGTGTCAGCAGTGCGATGGGCAAGGATGGGGTGAGTTGACAAGTGACCATTCCATGTAGAACATGGTCTGCAGCTAAGCAGAGCTGCGGTTAAGCATGTCTTGATCAACTCGATCCGACTCGTTCACGAAGCCGACATCCGAACCGTGCGAACGACGAGTAATAATTGTAGTAACAAGTAATATGTAACCCACATTTCCACATTTCTGGGGCCGACAAATGGACGGCTTGATGGCAGAGAAGGGAGTTTGCTCACTCTGTCCTCCCATCACACGATTCACCATCACCATCACCATCACCACCATCGTCATCCATCGCCACTCCTCCACATTACATTCAAATGTCATCCGCTATCCGCCTTCGCCGCCTGTTCTATGTCACACCGTGACTTCCTACTTGCTAGGAAATGCCTCGGTGAGTGCCTGCCGCATGATCGCCCGTGGAAGGAAGCTCTCTACCAAGCAGCTACCCTGTACTAGTCAGGTACAAGTGAACAATAAAAGAAAGAGGTAACTACCAGTATGAGAAGGCGCCTCCCACCAAACTCCTCACGTTTAAAATTCCTCGCTCTCCCTGCTCCCAAGTCAACACTTTTCCATCTCTTCAGGTTACATATTCTGTTTACACAGCCTCCCTTAATACCAGCAGTTCATTCATTCTACCAAGGTGTACCATTACATCCTGCAAACCTCACACTCGTGCAACTCCGTCAGATCCAGCACCATGCAGTTCTCGATCTTGCTCACCCTTCTCTCCATCTTCAGCCTCACTCCAGCATCGCCTCTCCAGACAAGACAGACCATTGATCCACCTGCCAGATACTACCTTCAAACCAAAGTGGTCAATGGCGGTCACCTGGACTTTGGGACCAACAAGACCAACCTGTGGCTCTACTCATACCACACCGGTGCCGGACTTGGTGATGCCGCCCTCTCGACCAACAAGTCATGGGCATGGGAAGGCTACTTGAACGGTTCCCAGCAGCTCATGACCTACGCTGGCAATCAAGCTGGCCCTTGGCCGATGTACATCGGCTATGGCCCCTATCAGCAATGGAACTTGGTGGGAATCAGCATTGCCGGCATCAGCAACCTCGTTAGTGGATTCTTCTTCAACTCGTCGGGACTTCAATTCAACGAGAGCACTGGTGGCTGGTTGGGTAAGTCCTCCATCTGCACTGATCAACCCATCTGGATCTGATATGAACTAATTGGATTTGCAGCTTGCGACTGGTGGCATGGTGTACCCCAACTTTTCCAGGTTAATGGCTATACCTACGGGCGAATTCCGAACTCCTGCTCCAAAGTTCAACTCCGGCCAGTGGCAGTCTGATATTATGTGGCACCCAGTCTTCCTTCAGTGGTCTAGGAAAAGCAGAAGGCTAGCACAGGACCACATGTTTGTTTGGTGTTGTTCAAGTATTGCATGGCCTTGGTTTGCATTCATTCTTTCAAAAGCGTCATCCGAATTGCGCATTGAGGAAGGGATAATTATCTGTACCACCAGCCAATCATAATACCTCTTATTTTCTCTCTCGTGTGTTCATGCTTATTTCAACTTCGGCCTCTAGACTTTCCTGCTTAAGCCTTTCCTGCGAGTCTATGCCTGATGGATTGCAGACTGACCACTGGGCCCCTCAGACGTCCATGGTGCAGGGGAGAACCCGAGCACGTTGCCAGGTAAAGCGACCAACTCTCCGCACACCATGATTCAGGTCATATATCAAGACGGTTCAGCCGAATGGGCACATTCCATTTGCAGTCAATGCTCGGCTGACAAGATGGGTGTCCATTCAATCTGACCTAGATAGTTCTGTGATGACGCTGGGTACACCAAGCCGGACGTTGAATTGTCACCACTCAGATATGCTGGCCCTTACGCAACTTGCATATACCAAGAACTGACGGACGAAGGCCGGGCAGCGGCCTGCTTTGTGACGAGCTTGCTAGTCCTTGCCTGCTTACATGATAGTCTTCCTCCTCCCTTTCGTGTGAGACTCATTCGCCAACTTCCAGATTCGGTCAGGAATCCCTTGCGAAGGGTTGGTCGCTGCGGGTGGCTCATCTAGCACGATCATAGCGGTGTTGTGCGCGTTGGTGGTTCGTCGAAGATGGAAATACCTATTGCAGTTTCGGGAATGGACAACCGTTCAACGATGCTGAACGGATCACTTATGCTGTCCTGGTTTGCCGGCTCTATCCCATGAGAAGAGCGTGTCCCTCCGATGACCATGCTCGCACAGAGGTAAGAAGCCTTATTAGGCTACGCCTCGAGGCTCTCAACGAATGCCCCCCCCCCCTCATCCACCTCTATTCCTGCTGGTGCAAAAAGTCCAATATGGTTGCGAACAACTCTCAGATGCAACAACCACCCACCTACACGGGCGATCTCTTATGGGTCAATCACAATCAGAAGAGCAGGAAGGCTTTGCCACACAGGAAGAGAGTCTTCGGTCACGTCCAGCGAAACTACCGCAAATGGAAAAGGAAACATGATAACAATCAGTTGCAGGCGTCCATCCGGTTGCCGGGTACAACGTGAGTTGCCCTTGGTAAACGAGTTTTGGTACTCCCTACAGGGATGCTTACTACGAACCGTCTTCAGCATTGTTTCCCAAAAACACCATCGCGTTGCTGGTGATCAGGTACAGGGAGAGCCGGACGCGAGCGTTGCGTCTGACGCAGCTGATGCCGCTGCTTCTTCCGATATTCCCAGCCCGCTGACACTTATTCGTCAAGGCAACTCTGACCCTTTCTCTTGTTTCTCCTTTTCCATCACGCCGCGCGTGAACGAGGTCATAACCTTTATCCGAGACATTCAGCTGCCCACGCTCTACTACTCGCCTTACTTCCGCGAGGCAGCCCGCTTCCCTTCGACTCGTTCGGATGTCACGAAGTCACCCATGGGCTGGATCTCGACACCAGCGGCGGTCCAATCCTGGAAACACATCGTCCAAGGCCTGCATGATCAATGCACCGCACTCGCTTGTCTCAGCACATACTTGGCCATGATGGTTGCTTGTGGTATCAAAGGCAGTGGTTACATGAAGTACAGCTTGGAACTAAGAAACACCAGTTCTCAAATGCTCAGGCAGAGCATCCTCCGAAGGGACCCTACACACCGAAGTCGGCTCGCCCAGATCACACTTCTTCAACAAGTCTTCTGGCACTTCTACGCTGAAGCCTCGGCGAGAAATCTCGATGCTGCACTTATACATGGACGAATGCTGAGAAAATTGATGCACCAGGACCCGGATGCTGTAACTCCGCACTTCTTCATGCTGGCAATGTTTGTCGACATCCATCTGAGCTCGACGCACCGCGGGAAACCGATATTTGAGTACGAGACGTTTGGACCAAATGTATATCAGGCAATGTGGAGCGGAGTCGATCCATATGTCTACCTGCTCGTGGGAAAGGAGACCATCCCAGACGCTGCAGATGGCGCAACTACAAGCACGCTTTTGGATTTCTCGGTGTCAACGGAGCCTCTTCGAAGCCTCTTCATCCGTCGACGACAGGCCGTCGCACTGGAAAAGTTGATTGCCCAAGCTGAGGGTCCCGGCATCAATACCACGGCGATATTCTTCTGGGTTGCATCCCATGCGTATATCGACGAGGGATTCTTCACGAATTTCTATTGTGATAAGGTCAAGGGTACTTCGGTCACTTTGAGTGAGGATCTCTGCGAGTCCAACGCCGCGTCCATTTTGCAGGGACCAGGTCTCGCGTGCCAATCCGAATGTAGCCGCCTGACAGAGGCCGCAATGGCAATGGCGGCACTTTACCTTATGCGCGTGCTTGGGCTGTTTGACATGTGGATTAATGGGCAGAACTTCTATGACCCCGCAGCATCGCGTGAGACGCTTCTTTACGATGCCCTTACCGCCGCGTTTCGAGTGGGCAGTCCCCAGGAGTTGGAGGCTTACGCAAATGCGCACCTATGGTGCCTGTTTGTGGGAGCGACAGCGGAGTGGCAGAGTGTCCTAAATGGCAACGTTGGCAGGAGAGGAGGAAGCCAGAAATCAGGGGGCATGCTCACAGCGAAGGCACAGCTGAGTTTGCAAAGAATCGATAGCGAATTTGCCGAGAACCTATCACATAAGGACCGAAGTGGGTTCCATGTCGGCGCAGAAGATGAAGATGCGTCGCGCATGTTGTTTAACACCCTCTTTGCAAGACAAGCGAGCATGATGGGCCTCATAAGTTGGGAGCAAGTGGTTCCGATCTTGAGGATGTTCGCGTACGGCGACACATTGCAACCGCATGGCAGCCAGTGGTTCTGGAGAAGTATGGGGGCGCATTTGGATGATTCGAATGCATACCAGTAGTTCAGCTCAGACGAAGCGGATAATGCGCTGGTGAGTAGCAGGGTTCCTATTGGAGCAGTTAGCCGTGAATCTCGTAATCCTAATAGTCTTGCCGAGGCCGAATGCTTCGGGGAGTAAGTGGCGTGGTCGGCGACCTTGACATCCAGCCTTGTGCGGGGCAGAGGCTTACCATGATTGGCTGAATGTGGGACGACAACAAACTCGGCTTATGTATATTCAACCCCCAGCATCACCACCATGTGCAGCAGGTGCCATTGCTGACAGTCGGGCTTCACTGAGGGCTTGATACTACTGCTAAACAAATACATCCTTTCTTTGAGTCTCTGCGGAATCCCCCGTCGGTGCTTCTAATGTTCCGCGCGCTCCAGACAAAAGCCCACATTTCACCCGCCCGCATATCCAACCCGAGTAGTCAAACCGCAACACACACGATCAGAATGGACTCCTCCCTCCATCCTCTGCAAGGACTCTACAAACCCAACAACCTCAAGGCACTCTACTACGGCCCAGATGTGGTGAAGAAGCACATCCTATCGGCGCTGCCCACAGAGTCATCCAAGGCCTTCATCATCACTGGCAGTTCGCTCGCCAACAAGACTCCGCTTATTAAATCTCTTGAGGAGCTTCTGACTGAGAAACACCATGCGGGCACATTCAGCAACATCAAAGAGCACGCCCCGATTGCACAGCTCGACGAAGCCACCGCCATCGTGAAAAACGACAGCACAATCGACACCATCATCTCCGTTGGTGGCGGCTCCCCGATCGACAGCGCCAAAGCCATCGCTTACCGCGTACACGAGACGTCCCAGAAGTGGCTTTTACACATCACCATCCCGACAACGCTGTCAGCGGCCGAGTGCACTGCCGTTGCGGGCTATACGCAAGCAGACGGCACAAAGACCGGGATCAGCCATCCAAACACGTACCCGGCGTATATCTTTTATGATCCGAAATTCGTCGTCTATACCCCTCCGCACCTGATGTTGTCCACGGGCTTTCGAGCGATGGACCACGCCGTCGAAAGCCAATATCACCCGGCGACGACTTGGATCCCGTGCCGAATGGTCGCGCTGAATGCCATTACCGAACTATTCCGCCTGTTGCCGAAGTACAAGGCGAACCCGAAGGACGAGGATGTGATCACCGGCCTGCTCCTCGCCGCCTACGCGAGCCTGGGATTCGTCGGCCAGAACCTCAAAGGCGGGCTAGGGCTGTCTCACTCCCTGGGGTACGCGTTGGGCTCCCCCTACGGCATCCCGCATGGGATCACGTCGTGCTTGACGCTCGGCCACGTCGTCAAGCTCAAGGCGCGCCAGAGCGCCGAGAATGCGGAGAGCATCGCCGCTATCCTGCCCTATATCGGGGGAGAAAAGAGGTCGGGCGACAACGTCAAGGACAGCGATCTCGTCGGAGACAGGATCTTGGCGCTGGTGCAGGACCTGGGCCTGAAGACGAACCTGACGGAAAAGGGCGTGGGCAAGGATCAAGTGGACATTATCTGCGCGAGAGCCACGGGCGGCTTGATGCCCCAGCAAAAAGGAAAGAGCGCGCAGGATGAAGAGCTGCTTAACTCCATCAGAAGCCTGGTTGAGGGGCTTTGGTAGATAGATGCGAGGCCCCAAGACATGGTGCTCCCCTTTCTTTCGCTACGTTTGTTACCTGGTCGTCTCGGGAAGTGAAAATAACAAAGTCCAAAAGCCCGCCGGCGACCCAAGTGCGATTGCGATTGCGATTGCGACTGACTGCGATTGCTCCCCTGAGACCCCTTCGTATCAAACAAGAATCCAACTAATTGATTCGTTCCTGCTGAATTGAAAGGACGTCGTAGCGGAAGCGAAGCATCAGCGAAGAATGAAGCACTACCAAATAAGCCCTCAATCTTTCTCCGAGCGAACAGTCCAGCTCTGACTTCCCTTCCCTTCTATTCCCTCGCTGCTTTGCAACTCCATTGCTAATCCTAAGTACTAGTAGCAGTAATCGTGGTCGTCGGCCATCCTAACGGCGAGGCAGTCTCCCAGCCCACGCCGTGCGAAGGAGGGAAGTCGCCGATGCTGCTGCTCGCACCGGCGGTGACGTATGAAGACCCAGACTCTGCGGAGCTGGGCCCCAAGGACACTCGCGTTGGGTTCGAGGAGTGAGGACTCTGCGCCGTCGGGGATCCTTTTCCCTGGGTTTGCCCCTGCCCGGCGGGAACCGCGTAGGGCCCGATGCCAGGCGCAGGAAACACTGGGGTGCCGTCGTGCTCGTCGAAGGAGAACTTCTGTGTGCGGATGGTGCGCGCTGTCCAGCCTTCCATGTAATCATGCATGCCGTGGTATACGATCCAGTTCTCGGATCCGTCGGGGCTGGTGGTGAAACTGGCGTGGCCGACGCCGTAGACTCCCTCGGCCGGATTTTGCGCGAAGACGCAGTCGGCAGTGTGCTTTGTCCAGCTTGCCGGGTCCATCGGGTTTGTGCCTGTTAGCTCTAGCATTCCGAGGCAGTAGTTCCTGTTGTCGCTACGGGCGGCGCTGTAGATGATAAACACCTGGCCCGTGGCCGGGTTAATTAGCTGTTGGGGCCCTTCGTTGGACGACAGCCGCTCATTGATCGTGCGGTTGTACGGCGTCATTTCCCATGGCTGGCCGGGGCACGAGATGACGGCACGAGATGATAGCGGACTCGAGATCGTCCACGGGTCCGACATGCGCGAGATGCACAACATCGACGGCCACGACGTGTACGGCCCCTCCCAGCACGAGTACACATGGTACAAATAGCCCGCCGTCGCCGGGTGCACAAAATACGTGCCGTCGATCGCGAACTGGTTGTACGTGTCCAGCTCGGCGCGCATGCTGTAGTTGCTCGTCCACGGATCATCCGTCGACGACGCCAGCACGAACATCCGGTGGTTCACCGCCGGGCAGCTGAAGTCGCAGTGCATGTCCTGCTCTGGGGAAGGGGTGTCCGCGTCCACGTCTGCCGTGAAGATGATGTACCACACCCCGTCTAGGAAGTGCAGCTCCGGTGCCCACAGGTCGTAGCTGTATGACGTGTTCTTTGGTGGTGTGAAGGCTAGCTTCACCTCGGCGTTGTTCCAGTCTCTGGCCATGCCAAAATCCATATCAGATTAGTTCGGATGCGGGAATGGAGACAGCAAGATGGTGAAGACGATGTGCTCTTGGACTTACGTGAGGATGCTGCTCCGGAGAATGGTGATGTTGTCGTTGGTCGTGTATGTCATGTAATAGTAGTCTTCGGACCGAATGACCCATCTAAAAACAACAGATATGAGGTCTTAAGTTAGTCCACTTGCTGCCTCCTGTGATCCTGAGTCAAGTACAACGCACGGATCTGCTCCCACGGCGTTGAGGATTGGATTTGTGTACGTCGCGCCATTTGCAGTCGAGTCAGTGGTGGCTGTTTGTCCCAGACACAGAATGAACGAAATATTAACTGCAAAGAGAAGGACAGATGATAGAAACAGCATTGTTGTAATAATGGCAATGCTGCACTGGGGCCAAGAGCGCTTAAGAGAACAAGAGGAATTGGAACAATCGACGAGGCGAAGGAAGACAAGCTCAAGTAAGGTGGATAGGTTTCATACAACCTCGCATGCTATGGGCCGCCTTTTGTGTTTGGGTTGAGAAGTTGTGCACTTAGGTCACAAATGGGTGGCAGTTGTGCCCGCATTGAGGTGACATCCAAAACCTCGTGGTAGAGCATATCCCTGGTTTGGCCGGGTGCAAGATCCTGGAGTGAGTGCGGAGTAGTGGCTTTAGTTGATCAGCATATGCAGGGAGATCATTACCATGATTATCATCATCCACCGACATCACCGTGCATGCCGATGCCGAGTTCCTGATCATGCGTGGGTATATAGAACTTTTGGTGTCATTTTTGAGGAGACGGCGAGAGACTCATCCAGTCGCCATTAGCCAGGCTACATATATTTCACAGAGACGCTCGAAGTTTGTCGTCGACAGGTTTGACCTCGACCAACAACTTGCCTGGGTTTCATTAGCCCATAAATACTCTGTGTACGAGAACTCCAAGGAAAGAAAAGGCTCACCTGTATTCACCCCTTTGTACAAATCTCTCAGTGCGTTCTCTGCCTGGTCCAAGCCACCCTTGACGATGGTCTCCTTCCTCTTAATCTTGCCCTCGGAAAGCCACTGGGCCAAGTCTCTCAGAGCTCGTGGGTATTCCTTTGCATAGTCGAAGACAATGAACCCTTCCATGCTGCAGCGTTGTTCAGTCCGGATACCCGAAAGCGAAAAATTGCATGCCTTACCGTATGCGCATCGAAACGATCATGAGATAGTTCTGGGTATCCTTTGTTAACAGGACTTGTTCTTAGCTAGTCGAAGCACTAACCTTTGGCCCCTGGGGTTTAGAGGAATTGTACTGGCTAATACCTGCTTGATAATCAGAAAGTCTCACTTGCAGAATCGCAGGGTCGCATACCTCCACACATGACAAACCGAGCGTGTTCCTTTGCTCTCGAGAGAGCCATGTCGAGGATCTCACCTCCAACTGAGAAAACCGAGATGAGTGGATGCCAACCACCTGTAACATGAGTATGACTTACCGTTGTCAAAGTAAACATCAATCAGGTCCTGGTTCAGTTAAGCACACTCTGATTTCTCACACCATATCAGGTTTCACTGGGAAAATACCTTCGTGGCAACCCTGAACTTCTTGAAGAAGTCCTTGTCTTTGTAGTTCAAGGCATCATCGAAGCCCAACTCCTCTTTTAGCCAGCGGCACTTGTCCTCACTGCCAGCAATGCCCAAGACAGTTGCACCCTTGAGTTTCGCGATCTGGCCGACAACACTGCCCGTTGCACCGGCAGCGCCTGAGACAACGACAAAGTCTCCCGCTTTGACCTTGCCGACGTCAATGATGCCGAAGTAGGCTGTTAATCCAGTCATTCCTGGAAGACCGTAGTGTTAGCCAAGCTCCATCCCGTAGAAGTCTTCTCGATTGGTTTCGTACCGAGCACGCTCAACCCATCGGTTAGCTTTCCGCCCCTAGGGACAACCACCCTCTGCAACTCGTTGCCTCTGCAAATCTTGTATTCGGTCCATCCCACCGTGGCCGTTGCAAAACTCCCAACCGGGAATTGGGGATTCCTGCTAGCCTTGACTGTCCCGATACAACCGCCTCGCATGATTTCCCCAATCTTCACGGGTGGAATATATGATCTGGTATCGTTGAGCCATCCGCGCATCGCCGGATCGATGCTGAGATAGTTGGTCTCGAACAGGACCTCTCCATCCTTGAGATCGGCGGCGGAAGGAATCGGGTTATTGGTGACGAGTCTGAATGTCTCACCTGGGACAACGTTGTCTTTGGGTCGTTTGGCGAGAACCACCGTCTTGTATGTTGGAACCATCTTCCCTCAATCCCCTACGATGGTGACCAGCTTTGTGATGATGCTAGAGCGGATGTTTCGGCTTGAGAAAGCGGGGGCGGACGCGATTGACAGAGACTCTTCCAATAAATTAGTTTTTGACAATGGCAAGCTCGGACTGATGAGAGGTCATGGATTTTGTTTAGTCATTACTCCGTTTTGAGGCACCACCAGGGATGCTTGAGCTGGACCCAAAGAGAGAAAATACCTCGGTTCGACAACGGTGAAGCACATGAAACCAATCGCAGCCATATACGGAAGAGCATGTCTACGATAGACGATGCTGAGTATCCAACGAGCCAAGTAGTTTAGTTTCTAGTTTCTGTCGTTCCAGTTGCGCTGGAAATGTCTCAAATATGACGCTCTGGTTGCGGAAGTCCAGATCTTACAAACCTAGATCACCAGCCAGAGCATGGCGATGGACAAGTTCAACCAGTCCACTGCACCTGTCGAGCCATCGACCTGACCCACGAAACTTGGGGAGAGCCGTGACTGTTTGTTGAACAAGTGACAGCCGCCAATTACTGGTCTGTTCTTATAAGACGAGAAAAAGGCTCCGGCAGCTTGACGACAGCTATCGCTCCACTGCGTGTCCACAGCCTTGTGCGTCTGGAGTTTTTATGGTAGCCTTGTGAGAAAATGGAGGTCAGCACGATCATCTGGTCCGCTTGTCTGTTTCCCGAGTAAGTGATTGCTTCAACCCAGAATTTGGCCGCGATGTGGTAAGCCGTACTCTCCAAAACACTGGACCAACACGAACACCGTAATGGCGGAGGGGAGACTGAAGGAAGCATGTCCGCTTTCTCTCTGTGTACACGGCTATTGTCCGGTATCGGATTCTTTTACCGGCTTATTGCCCGTCCAACTCCTTTCATACTACTATTGTTCCCCTCACCCCAGTCAAACACTCGAGTATATTTATACAGATTTTTGCAAATACGCACTCCTGATAGCTCGAGGCTGCGCTCTTCCCAATCTACCGTTTTATTGTCTCTGGAGAAGCTCCAAGAACAACCGTAGGGCAATAATGGCGAAGAGTACATCTCACCTAAACGGCGAAACCACTGCCCCAGGGCCTCAAGTGATACCAATCCAGACAACCGAGGTCCCTACATATACAATCATCCAAGCAGACGGTGTCTACCCCGTGCGCTCCATCCTTACCAAACAGTCCTTCTGTGCGCCTCTCGAACGATGTTTCAGCTGATACTATCATGTTTAGGACGACGTTGTTGAACAGGAAATCTTCACGGCAAACCCACCGCATCCCTATAAGTTGAACTATGTCTCAACCCACCTGTTCCCGACCGGCACACCTTTTCCAAAACCATGGTCCTCTATCCCCAAGGACTTACGAGACCAAGTCGATGGGATTATGGTCCTCAAGATGGGGTTCACGGCTGAGGACGTCGAGTTGTTCCCCAAGTTGAAAGTGTGAGTATCTATTCACCACTCCCCTTGTCAATGGTGCGAATATCTCGATGTGGTGAATGGGTTGGGCGCTTACACGGATGGTTCGATTGTTGGTAGGATAGTCAGAATGGGCGTCGGGTATGATCGTCTAGACCGAGTCGCGCTGGCGAAGAAGGGGGTCACGGTGTGCAACGTGCCAGGTTCGGCTTTTCCCTTGGTGTCTTTCGTCTCATGTCGTTTCCCCGTCCCCACCCCTGACCCGACTTGATGGGGAGTTCGCTCACTCACTCTGTGATACGGTGTGACCTGCATAGACTATGGCACAGCCGAAATAGCAGACCACGCACTGTCTCTCGCTCTCTCTCTGCGGCGTGGGGTCCTCCTGCACCACGACCGCCAGCGCCAACCCTATGTCTACCCGTGGATGTACATCGACACTCCACTCGTCTCGCGCATCCAACAGGCTACATTCGGCATCTTGGGACTTGGGAGAATCGGGACCGCCGCGTGTCTCCGCGCAAAGGCATTTGGCTGGAACGTCCTGTTCTACGACCCATACCTACCCAACGGCGTCGACAAGGCCCTGGGCATCGAGCGCACAAAGGACATCACCGAGCTGTTTCGTAGGAGCACAAATCTCAGCATCCACTGTGCGTGCACGCGCGAGACACGCGGCATGATCGGCTGGGACCTGGTCAAGCTGATGCCGCGCGGCTCCGTGCTCGTGAATACGGCCCGCGGTGAGGTGCTGCAGCTCGACGCCGTGGAGCGCGCATTGAGGGAAGGTATCCTCGCCGGCGCGGGCCTCGACGTCCTCCCTGAGGAACCCATCCCCGAGCACAACGTCCACCCCCTCATCAAAGCGTACCGCGAAAAGGAAGAATGGCTGCTCGGGAGGATGGTCCTCACCTGCCACACGGCGTTCTACAGCCCACAAAGTTTCGTCGACATTCGGGTCAAGAGCGCGCAGACGATGCGGGAGGTCTTGATCGATGGGTTGCAGAGTAATGTCATTACACCGGATATGCTGTAGCAATAGGCATGCCTCAACGGACGCATGCATCTGCTATCCCTTTGCTATCCGGGCGACGTTAACCTTTTCATTATCGTCGTTGGAGCATATATATATATATATACGTATATCGCGACTGCGTATGTACATTCCTGCCTGGCAATTGCTCCGCCACTACGGACTTGCTATGTATGAAGAACTAGCCACGGGGCGGGGCACGGGCGGGATCACCATTGCCTCAATGTTCCCCGTTTCTGCCTGGCATTCCCGCTGAAGAGGGTCCCGTCATAGTCTGTCCCATTGTTGGGGTAGTTGATGGTGTAGTTGGCGAAGCAGACGTAGTCGTAGTTGCTTGCGTCGTACGCGCTGGCCTGGCTCTTCAGGAACGAGCTCAGTGGACACATGCCGTCGCTGCGGTTGCCGCAATACCCGCCGCGGATGGTGGACAGCGGCAGGATGCCGTTGTTCAGCCGCATGCGGATGAACTTGTGCGTTGCGTCGTTCGCGCTGTACCCGTACTGCGTCGGGTAGTACTGCGTCTGCGACGAGTTCTTGGGCACGGGGTTGCCCGAGCCGCACCCAATCACTTCTGTCACCAGCCGCGCCGAGAAGGGCGTCAGGTGCGACAGGATGAAGTGCCGGTTCGGGTCTGGTGGGTACTGCGTGAGGGAGGGCGGGTCGCGGAGGTAGTCGAGCGAGGCGGCCGTGAGCACTGATATGATGATGTCGTCGTGCGAGAAGTCGGCGTAGAATTTCTGCCCCAGCGGGAACGAGCGCGAGTTGTTGGTCAAGCTGCTGTTGACGCTCGAGTTGGACACCATAATGTATTGGCTCTGCAGCCTCGCTAGGAGTTCCTGCAGGTAGCCGATACCCTGGGCCCGTCCCGTCGGGTTGCCGTACGAGTAGTCGTAGTAGTACTCGATGTCAAGGGTGCTCTCGAACCCGGACCATTCGTCCTCCGTGAACAAGGTACAGAAGTCGGACCGGCCCAGATAGTTGGACTCGTACGCACAGATGCTCCTAGTTCCTCGTCAGCTGGGTGGTGTAAAACGCAACGGGGCACATGACATACTGCATGGCATATGTGTCGTTTATCGTCAGATTAAACCCAGTTGGAACGTATTGGGAAAGCCGGCTTTGGGCGCTAGACAGGTAGAGTGGCAGGTAGCTCAACAAATCGAGATCTCCCAGGTACCCGGTGACTGGGTTGTTGTCATTGAAGCACGAGTCGTAGGATGCCAGGGTATTGTTTTCGGTTCCGCCCTCTGGGACGACCACCACATGGAAAGGGCTGGAGAAATTGGCTAGGGACGGATCCGGAGTGAACTGGTAGCTCGGGCCGAAGAATCCCAATGCCCAACTGATCTGGGTGTTCTCGATGCGGGACTGTCCCGTTGTCCTCAGCGTCAGTTTGGGTCGGTTGGTACCATTGGCGTAGGTCGCGTTGTACGCCACTTGACCCTGGGTAGCATTGTAGAGCGTGCGGCCATATCGGTTCCAGAAAGTGACACCGGCCATGAAAGACTGGGAAGCACCAATTCCCGTGAGGTAGTCTCGCGCAAGCTCATAGCGGTATGAATTCAAAAAGCCGAGCGGGCCAGTAAACTGGGAGGAAGAGTTGGTTTGAGTCCAGTTCATGACCTTGGCGGCAAAGTTCGCATCGTTTGGCCCGTCGTCAAAGGTGCCGCCGGGGAAGCGAGCGCCGTGGCGTTGCAGGAGATGAGCTTGCTCGACTTGACACCCATCTGGCAAGCCAACATCACTCACGCCAAAGTAGTCCTCAGCATTGTCCGCATATGGTGTGATCTGGCCCCAGTATTGCTGGACGATGGAAATGTCAGTAAGAAGGTCCGACGACGAGTTTGTACTGGTCTGGCGTCGTTGGCGTTGGCGGGGAGTAGGCGACGAGGCTGCAAGAGAAGGGAGCGCAGCCAGCAGAGCCCAACGGAAATACATTTTGCTTGCACTGTCACGGTTAGCTCTGCAGGGAAAGGACCAAGGGGTAGAGGAGGAGATATGGTAGCAAGGTGGAGGAGAGCTTTCGAGCTATTGTACTCGGTACCACTGCTGAAGTGCGCAGAGTGCTCCAGCCGTTGAGCCGTCTGGAGCTTGCGGAAGGCGCTGGTGACGACAAAAGAGCCATGGCCATCATCGAGCCATGGCCATCATCGGCTGCCATAGGTAGAGCCATCGCTCAGCTCACAGCTTGCAGAAAGCTTGTAGGACGTCACCAAATCGAACTGCAGGTGTGTGACCAGGTCAACCTTGGAGAGCAGCGAGGCAGCTCGAGCCGTGTGGGGGGGGGGGGGTGCAGGCAGGTGGCTGCCAAAGGGAAAGGCGGCCGTAGGATCTGCTAGGCGATGGAGTCGCACGAATGCTGCAGGGTGGCGGTGATGCCAATGGGGAGCTTTGTGAGAAACGTTTGGAGAAATGGTTGTCCCTCTCTCGAGTCTTCGGCGCAACCTGGTCCGGCGATCGATCTACATGTGGCTCCTCAGTCCTGGCCAACTTGACAAGCTTGCTGCTGAAGCTGTCAATGAAATGCATCAGTGCTCATCAGATAATCTAAGGTGGTGTAGGGCGAGAGGGGTCCCTGGGAGTATGTCCAGCATCATGGGTTGGGTTGGAATCTGTGCCTCGACGCACTCTGTGATTCTCCTAGGTAGGTAGGCCTCTGTTTTCTGGGTAGAGCTTCCATCCATTCCCTCCTCTTCTCTCCTGTCTCTTGTCTCGGGTGCTTTCCGGCCTGGCAAGAGCTTCTTTCTTGGTCGGTGCCGGCGACGTCAGCTTCATCTTCATCGGCACCATCGGTTCGTCTTCTGCTACCCGCGGCGACCTTGGTGTGATGGTGGTGGCACCGAGGCACTCGAATGCCATGGTACTAGGCGAGTGGAGGAGAGGGAAAGTAGGGGCCGATCAAGTAGCAAAGGGCGTCTCTCGTTGGCTATTCTCCATAGCATGAAGCTGGCTCGACAATTGCGTTGAGTCAAAGGTAAAGTCCTGACGCAGTCAGCGGCTCTGGCTACACCTGGGGTTCACGTCTCCGTGGGAGTCGTCTTCAGTCTCTGCATGTTCTGTGAGAGCATGAAAGGTTGAAGGGTGAATAGGAGCAGGCATTCAACCGAATAACTAGCCAGTACCCGTACAGAGACGCGTACCTCGTACCTTGTAGAAATTCGGGAACAGTGACAGGTTGAGAAAGGTGGTCGCACTGTTGGGGGATTGCCAGACACTTCCCCCGCCAAATGAAACGCAGCCACGCAGGCTCGTCAAATCCCAGCAGCACAGCTGCCCGCCCTGCATTGCGCAGCTCCTCCTTCATCCTCACCACCAGCACCTCATCTATTTCTCCTCCAATATCGTGCTCTGCACCTGTCGGCATGCACGTAGTTGGGCTCTGGCCTCATCGTTGGCTCGACTCCATATCTTACATGCCACGAACCCTTGCCCTTGCCCTTTGGGTTGCAACCTCAATGCGAGTCCCCGTCACAAAGCATCTTCCCTCGTTGCTGAACTCTATACCCTCGCCGCATTCCTGAAGGTTGGTTTATCTGATGGCATGACGGTCTCGCTGATGCGTTGTTTGTCTTGAAATCCGGAAAAAGCATGGATGCTCGAGCAGACACGTCGTCGGGCCGCTTTAGAGGGCAATGGGCATTCCTTTCCGCGCCTTCGCCTTCGGCCCATGGATCAAGGTCTCTCCCGCCATCTTCCAGCTACCTGCGAAGTGACCACAGCAATGTTTCCCCTCGACCGGCCGCCCTTCACTTCCACCAGCTCAATGCATCCCGCTCCAGCCTAACCAGGCACGCTCAGACCCCGTCCATCGGTGGCCGCTCGACTACAACTAACCTTTCTCAACCCGTCCTCGTTCGTGTCCATTCCGACGATGCATCTCTCCAGATCCGCCCACCAAGGCCGAGGTCCAAACGCGGCGTTATGAACAACGAGTTGCCCCCTGTCCACGAATTCAGCTTTCGAGGCATCTTGGCTGCAATCGAAGAGGACATTGAAGAAGACGTCAATGCGATATCTGAAATCCTCGGGAGGAGCAGACTGGTGTTGGCAGACCAGCATGACAGTCACTTGCCTCCCCAAGGCGAGATTAGGGCCATGAGCAGCCCTTTACAGGCCGTGGCTGAGGCAAGCGCAAGCAACGAACGCCTGGCCGCCGCAGCAGATGACGTTCTTATCCTCCGAGAAGATGCAAGTCTCGTCGACGGAAGTCATACGGGCTCCTTCGCATATGGCTTGCTTGAGAGACTACAGGCTGTCCCACGCACCAGGCGCGTGGGAAGCGAGACCTTGGGCGCGCTGCCCTCGAGGCCGGGGACAGGCTCAATTCGCCATAATTCGGCGCCACCAATTCTACCGGATGTGCCACCAGTTGTGGAAGACCACGAGCGCCTTGCGCTGCCTGGACTGTCACGCTCGTCTCGCCGCTTGCTTCAGAGCTCCGTAGCGGAGCATGAGGTAGAAGAAACTCCGTCCAGAGCAACCGATGCCGTGGTGTCAGAGACGTACCTGTCTGCCGGAGCAAATGCAGTCATGATATCTGACCCTCCTGTCGTTTCAGAGGGCGGTCGCCACTATCCACTGTACAGTTATGACGACAGCGGACTATTTGAAGGACCCGTCCCTCCTTGTCCGCCCCCACCCATGACTCTGCGGGAGAGGTTGCAGTCGTTAATTCCTAGGATGGAGTTGCTCAATTTCGTGCCCTGGGCCCATGGACAAACCAGCCGCGCGATGAGCGCAGAGTCCCAACTTCGGGAAATACTCGACAAGCACCAACGGTCGCGAGAATCGCGGCGAAATTTGGGGACAGCCGCAGAGAGCCCGGAAATGTACGAATAATTTCTTGGACCATAAAAATCTACTTTGGCTTCACTTCTATTTGCAGGTGACGTTGCGCAGTGATCATTTCAGATTGGAGTGTTTTGCTGGTAGACATATCGACATTGTTCGCGCATGAGCGTGAGAGATACCAGAAATAAGAGTCTCGAGCTCACTTCTTCAGT